ATTTAGCATCTTATCTGTTAGTTATATATCCCTCAAAGGCAGTTTGTATAATTGCTTATTCAATGATAAAACATCATTGGTTGCATATGGATTGCAACCCGTTGTTGTATTGGTACAGACCATAGAGTGGGGTCATTTTACTAGCCCTGTACTTTTTAGTCCTATTGAATCTAGCGTAATGTCACATGAACAGATGATAGCAGGGATTAGGCCTGATAGTGTCTCTTTAGCCTTACAGCTAAGACATGCCTCTTGTTCACTGGATTTTATCTATTTTAAGTGTCAGTGTAAAAAGATTCACCAAATTAAATATTATGAATATAACAGCAACTTCCTTTCCATCGCTAAAGTATTTTGGATTTACATACTTACCGGTCCTTCCTGAATGCCTTGCACTTTAGTAGGTTTGTGAACCTTTTGCTAACTGCGAAGCTGCCTTTTGTTATCACTTCTACATATGTAGAAGAAACAACTGTGACACCTATGGTGATACAGAATTCACATGTCTTTAACTATTCTTATGTATAGCAGAGTTTCATTTGCATATCTTCTATGATCACCTATCGAAAACTTGTAAACCACAAACAAACAGAAATTATGTGGAATCTAAAAAACTATGTGTCAGTATAGGTTGATATAATTCTCACTAACAGGAAGGACAAAGGATTATTAGTAATATTAGGAATAGTCATCTCTGTTTGTAGAAGTAAGAAGGAGAAGTGGTAAGAAAGAAAATAACAAGCGTACAATAATGAGATATATTTGACTCGCAAAATAATATCTGGGTGTATAGACCCCATTATGTACATAAATTCACCTTCAAACAAGAAGCAGGATAGCGTTTCTATCATAACTACTAATTCAGTTCTACCAAAATCCAGGTTCTGATCTCAAAGCAGTATTGTAATTAAGTGGTCATGTGAAGCCAGTGCACTACGTCTCGATCCTACCTGATGTATGAAGACTGATAGAATTCAACGACTTCCTGAACTTCAATAGGTGAACGCGTTTCTAGTCAGTTACTCACTGGTCAATAGTCTAATACCTAACCAATGATCTATAGCTTTAAATTCAAGTTAGTAGAAAAGCTATCCGACGCACAAATGAAATTAGGATTTTTCGTATGTTTCTTCGGTTTATCTTACAGTTTTGTGTCTATCTTTTAAAAGCTAAGAAACAGTTCTCTTCACTCCCGTTATTACTAGATACTTATTCGTGCAAATTTCTACTTTCTTTCATTGTTTTGTATAGGAATGTCGAAAACAACAGAAGTTCACTGAATCAAGAAAAGCATTTGACAGATTCTTTTACCGTTTTTGTATTCTTAGGTTGGGTTACCACTAGACGCGAATTATCAGCTACGGCTTTTTGGGGGAACTTCAGTCCCTTATTTGAGTCCGTAAATCAAAGACTTCACAAACCGCTGAACTGTAAACTCAGCGGTTACTTTCTCCGTTTAAATTTCCTTGATTGGAGAGATGGATGCACTCAGCAACCTTGTGCTCATTCTTGCAGTAAACAAACGGCTACACTTGTTGTGTGAGGGATAATGATGCTACTGGCTTGCCTAAACCTCAAGAGACAGAGCGGTGTTCGAATGCGTGACTTATTGGTTGAAAGTCAATCCTTTAAACCAATGAGCCACAGCTCCGCTTCTTGATTGGAATTGAGGTGAGAATGGATAGGCTAGGAAACCAACTTTTGATGGAGTGTGAGAATTTACTAATCAAACCTCCAAGTAGGCATTTGAAATAAATCTCTGAGCGGAAATTGTAGTGAAGTGAAACCGTAATGAATCTGGCTATTAATATGTAGCATGAGATTGAAAGAATGAGGGAAGAATCGCTAGGCTATAAGCTATACCTCTCATGCAAAGGTTAATGACATTATCTGTCAGCGTAAAGCTTGGTATCTGCAGGTGGCTTCAAACTCCTTGTATATTGTTTCATAGTCTCATGACTAAAACAACGAATAAGTAGGCGTATTGGAGTCAACTGAATTAAACGGCGATTAAACAAAATCTGTTACAGATTTATGTAGTCAGCTATGAGCCACATCTGTTGAGTGGAGACTTACGATACTACTGATCTGCCTGAAATAGGAATGGAAATACACTCAACAACCTTTTGCACATTGTACAGCAGGCAATGAGCCACACCTATTGTATGAGGGATAATGATTCACCTACTTGCTCGAACTCATGACCCATTGGTCGAAAGTCGACTCTCTAAACCAATATGCCACAGCTCCACTCGTTGCCTCAGGCTAAAGTAGCTAGTGTGAGGATCGAAAATGGGACCTCTTGGTTAACTAAGCGTTTGAAGTTAGAGTTGATGGCTTTCCAAAACCTTTGTTTTACATGGATAAAAAATCCATGCACCTTTCGTCCTTTGTTGTTTGGATTTACAAATATTCCTTAAAAACTTCCATCCTAATTCCAAAGCAATTTGAATGAATGAAGAGTATTCTTTTCGACAACTTCTTAAGGTCCCACAGTTATATTTCAATATTGTGTAATTTTACGTCAACAATACTAAAATTTCGTTTAGCACTTTGTTAATAATAGTACACAGTTAAGAAAATCACTTCAAAAAAGTCTTGTGTGAATGTTAATATCTGAATCAGTTATTACTGAGATTCAATTCAAATAATTGAGTGCCCAAATCGTTATGCGGTTTATGTGATACCATAAGGTGGTTTAATAAAACAATAGGAAGGTGTGTATGAAAGTTGAGTGCAATGAACAAAGATGGATAGTTTTAAGAATAATGGCTTCATAGAATGCTACTCATGTTAGGGAACAAAATAGGTGATGAGAGCGTAACAAAAGGTATTTACAGTATAGGATTAGGAAATTAGATTACGTGGGATAGTATGCTAAGGAATTTGCGAGTATCGAATCGGGTCAAGGTAATTGTAGAGGTAATATATGCCTTTTTTGAACACATAACTCAGGTTGTCTAATCCTGATTGCCACCGCAGAATTACACATTATGGACATATAACGGTAGAACCTGAGGAAGAACTTACCAATAATCCTTGCAAAAGCTATCAGTGAAGCCATTTCACAAGTGTTCACCAGATCTTTAAGTAGGTTTTTGCTCATAGACTTGCATTTTCTTCTGGGTAACAATATAATCGATACTAAACATGTGTTTAAGAAATACTTTTTGTGGCTTGTGGACACCTATGTATACGTGGTGGGAATATGGTCTTTTAGGTTAATTGGTCGACTTTTAACCCATGTATCCAGAGTTCTAACCCCGCTCCACCTATCTCAGCTTGGGCAACAAAGTAGAATCATAAGCCTTGACCCAATGAGTGTGGCGTATAACAAAGTATATGAACCTCTATCGGATTGAGTTGCATTATTTTCGCATTTACACACAGGTAGGTTACCTAGCGCACACACTGTCACTGTTTTTTTTCATTTTCTACATCTGCCAATTTTGCTTCTTGCATACAAATCCAATTCACAATAATTACTTCAGTCATTCTTACTCTTTTTACAGTCTTCCAGATTGATATACAACAATTTTTAGATCGTTATACGTAGTTTGCTACCTCTCTCCGCTCAAGATATTTTGACGATATGACGTTAACAACAATGAGCTTATCTGTTCATTATAATCAACAGTATAATTGCATAAAGAAGTACAATATTAACTGGAGTAGGATTGCTAAAGCTGGTCAGGTCAAGGCTTAGTATCACCTCGTAAAGTTGCTGACTATTAGTCTGAACCGTATAGAGGAGTTTATACTCTGAAACTCTGAAAGTTACTGATTACAAATTGTTTTGTACTGCTGCGAATCCATAACCGATGCACATGTATTCACTCCCTACCTTCCTCGAAATTCTGAGCGCCTGATTATTCCGCACGTATAGTTTCTCTTCATATACCCTATTCCTGCCTATAATAATAGTGGTAATGATAATGATGGTAATAGTAGTGATATTTTTGGATTGCTGTTGATTATCTCTCAACTCAAATGTATTTTTCTAGCAGGTTTTACGTTGTTATCTATTTCTGTATGGCCTTAAAAATTTATTATTATTAGTTTGGTTATGTCATTTTAAAGACGAAACGTCAGTGTTGTTGGTTCGAGAGATCAGTTATGTCTTCTTCCTGATGTAACCCAGTTAGAGTCGAATTCAGCCAAAATTTATGCTTGTCGCATGAGAGTTCAAACGAAAACATGTGAATATTTTCGAAATTTTGACTGTGAGTGTATACGTTTTCATTTTTATGATTATATTTGATCACATTGTACATTTAGTATTTCGTTCTCATTTACGCCCCATAAGCCTGACTGGCAGCTGTTCTCTTGAAGTGGTGACCGGGCTTGCCTATCCCAATAACCCTTATGAACTATACTGCTTGGCATGATTGCTTCTTCAGGTCTTACTATGGCAGATAGGTTTTTCAGACAACGATAAAGCTAAAAGTAGTTACTATCATAGTGTAAATAGCTTAGGTTAGGTTGTTTTCTCCAAGTTTCGATGTAAGACAGTTGGTATGCACGTATCTTTCCAACTTATTTACAAAACACTTATTAAATGCAAGATAATGCTCCAGAACTAATCTTGAACTACTTCTAGTTTAGCGATAGGAATTACAGTGATTGAATGTATCGACCACTTCATTTTCTTGGGGAGTTGCATCAACCCGAACGGGCTGGTTGTTGACGACACCTCTGCCGGTATATAGATGATCCATTTGACACTTTCCAACTTCCGTCGTCTGTGGCGCCAACCCCCAAGACACCTGACTGCGTGTTAAAAGACGAGTATAGTCCACTGCAATCCGTTCTGTCCTGTCATACGACCATGAAGCATGGGTGTTAAAATTGAAAGGTATGAAGAGGTTGCAGGTTTTTGTCCAAAGGCATCTTTATAACATTGCTCGCTCACGGTGGAATCAAGGTCGCGCGAGAGATAATAGGCGAGGAAGGTCAGTCAGTCGATAAGGTTGTGAACCTTCAATGTATGAGGTGGCTTGGACACATGTTGCGCGTGCTGACCCACCGCCTACCTTGACGTTCAGTGCTATGAGAAGTCGGATGGTGTTTAAGGATGACTCATGATGGTCAGACTAAGACTTGACACCAGTCGATGAAGTCTCTGACCGTTGGTATGAGCCCTGTTGGGAAGTGTATACTACTTCGGTAGAGTCCCTGAGACAATATGAACCAGTGGTTGAGGACTTCTGGTGAAATGGATCGAAATTAGTCACAATAACCCAGATATATTCACTTCTTGATGCCTCCTCAAGCCTGGATATTCTCAGTAACCATTATCTTCTCCATATTAATGGTGGATACAAACAATAACACTTTATCTTCTCTGTTACGTTGTCTTCTTTGATATCAGTCTTTTCCCATCCTTTTACTCTTCGTATATACCTCGGTTTGTTGAAGCTGCGGCTATGAAGAAGTTTAGACTTCTTTTATGTATTCATAAACGATTTGCTGTTGTATTAAACCTCCTGTTGAAACTCAGATTTAATATCAAGGGTGATCAACATACTGTCTTTCTCTTTCCATCTACAATTTGACGCCTAAACTACCAATATAGTGATTTGAGCCCATCTGCCAACGAAAGTCTAGCAATTCCATCCAGTGTAGCAACAGAAAATCACAAGTATCAATAAATAATAACGATTTAACTTTCTATTGGATCGACTGCTTTTTTAAACCCATTTATCCGTCATTATATTTTATATAAACATGCATTGCAAACATGTGTGACCACATTGTTCAAAATACGTTGCGCCAATACATCACACGTTTTAGATAAACTAAGTCTTATTGTTTTGTGGACATTTAAATTCAGAGACATCTTCCAACAAGCTTTGTATGACCCGCCTCAAACAAACTTTACTGTATCGTTACACATGCAATTGATCAAAATGGTTATTATTAATTCTCTCCCTTCTAGATATCATAAGAATAATCTACGGTGAGCTGTCGTTCATTGGTTTAGGGAGATGACTGTCAACCAACAGGTCGCAGATTCGAAACCCGCCCCACCTACCGAGGTTTGGTCAGACAGGTAGTAGTATCATTAGCCCTCACACAGTAGGTATAGGTCACAGCCTACTGCACAAATGTGCACAAGGTTGCTGAGTGCATTTCAACTTTTCTTTGATCTTCTACGATATAAGGGGCTGGTAAGTGTCAACCTCTCTTATACATAATCCTGTTAGACTAAGATGCTGGTAAGGCACAGTCTTTTAGATGCGTTAGGTGACGGGTTGAAAAGTTTTTGAAGGCTTTTTTCACCTCCCAAACGTGAATTTGTTCTACAGGACTAGTTTGCATAGACACCGCGTCTAACACTAAGATATAAGTTGGTTGAGCGCATTGACCACTTCGCCTACATATGAAGTCGGGTCGTCCCTAATATGTCGGTTTCTGATGATCCTCAGAATATCTTGGAAAGGCTTGAATGACGTTTTTTAGATTGTATCAATTGTAGTACCTATAAGATATCTAAAGGCCTGCTTAATGTAGAATATGCTGTTCAGCAGTTCACTTTGTCCTATTCCATCGCAGTGGATAATGCCTACTGTAGATGAAAGACATGGAAAGGCTCTATGTGTTCGACCTCTGTTGTCCTAGAATCATTGGCCATGTGTTTTTGGATTACCACTTTAGTAATGTAGAAGTTAGGTATATAGTCTTGTGTGGGAAAGGTGTTTCAATCAATGAAGTCGCAAACCGTTGTTGATTCAGATGACTAGAACGTGCGCTATTCATGTGGATTGACCATCTACCCCAACCCTCAATGTTAGCTAAAGTAGGGTTAGATGTGATCAGACTAACGTCAGTTCATGAAATATTTAACTATCGGTTTAAGCGCCGTAGAGAGATTTAAAGTTACGGACTATGTTGCAAACGAAACCGATGGTTTAAAACTTGATGATTTGGCTCGAAATCAATTCCAAAGCAGCTTGTGCACACTTTTTCACCTTCGAAAATCTAAACATTTTATCAAACTTGAGTTGTTTAATCCCCTTATTGTTTTGCACTTTCTCATAGAGAGGTGGAGAGTAAAACATTGATGAAATGACATATGATGATTACGGGGAAGACAATGTTTGGATTTGTGTGCGCTAGTGAATTCGATTAAGAACCATATTATCTAGAGTGTCCAACCATCGATTTGGGTTGTCATGCTAACCTCGATCGAGAATTCTTCATTTCCCTACATGGCTCAGACCAACAGTCAAAAACTTCATAGACTGATGCCACGTTTTAGTCTTATCAACTTTAACCTATTTTTCAATCTAAACCTAATTCAGCTAACATTGCATAACAAAGACATCTGTTTGCCTATCTATGAAACAAAAGAATAAATTATTGAATTGTAAAGGCAGAAAATAGGTTATAGATGAAGCTGTGCCATCGTAGGATAATTTATGACAACAGTAAAAATTTCTGCCGATGTTTCGCCTTTTATTATCACTATCCCTATGCTGCACAAGAAACTGGTACCGCCCTTGGATTATTATTATTATTATCATTATTATTATTATTTTCATTATTATTATCATTATTAATTTCAGCCAAACGAGATGATATTTTAACCAGTATAAAATCTGAAGGCATAGTCGATATTGAAGATTTATCAAACTATGGTCAAAAAACAAGGTGGGTAGTGACTATTTTTTTCTTTAAATCAAAATTTTCTTGATAACATTTACCACATATTACTGTGAACCAAATAAATCGCTATATGGCGAAAGTTTTTTCGTCATTCTGAACACTAACCTCCACTTCAATAAGGAATGCAAGAAAGCCTTTTGAAATTTCACCACAGATGATTGACAAGAATTTGTTCCGAGAACTTAATTTTTAATTCATTATCTTCACAAATACTGTATTATATAAGCTGCTGATTGACGTGAGCGATTAAGAACAACATGCACCTTGCTATTCAGTGGTGTTTTCTAAGGATCATATATAATCTCAACATTGGATTATGTTATTTTTTGCTTTAAACCATGTTATATACTAACACCTTCCTCCACCATAAGCTCATCAATGTCATTAAGTTATGAAACACAATCAATGAGAATGGAAGTATCTAAAATAATAAAAACGCTTCTGTTATAAACAGGCTTACTCAATGACATTACGGGGAGATTCACATACCAGCTAGAGAACCTTCTAAAAGCCGAATTCTCTTTGGAGTTACCTGTGATAATATCATCTAGAACAATGTTAAAATCATATAAGTGAAAGAAAACACTTTTGGCAAAAGTCATCCACTGTCTTCTTTTGTCAGTTTGCTTTATAGTATCAGTATACTGGGGAGAGGTAAATCAGTTGACATGGTTGTGAACCTTCATCGATTGAGATGGTTGGAACACGTACTACGTATGTCTAGTCACCGATTGCCTCGTCACACAATGTTGACCGAAGTAGGTTCAGGCTGGAAAAAGACCCGAGGTGGCCATACTAAAACATAGCATCAATGTATAAAGTCTTTGACTGTTGGTTTGAGCCATGTAGGGCGATACAGACTAGATGGCTGGGTACTCTGGACAAGAGAAACCAGTGGTTAGAGACTCTAGGCGATTGCATGGCTGAGAACCGATGTCAGTGGCGCAGATGTATACATACATTATCCTCATCTTAACGACGCTATACCGAATCCTATCATTTTCTCATTCTTCCTTTCTCTCTTTTTGTACTTCATATTTCTTTTGACTGGATTTTCTTCTCTTCACCTTCCACTTCACTGCCTTTTACTTGATGCACTGATATGTATGGCAACTCGGACCGTTAGTCAGTAATGCGTGGTCCTATGTTGATTTTGATGATGATGTTTCTCACTGTTACTGTTGCCAAATAATCTTCAGTCATTTGTGTAATTGTGACCAGGTAGTTGAGTCAATTGGTTGATTTTTCAGTGACTGAGGGGAATATAGGTCAGGAAATGATTGCACCTTATTCAGTCTAATTCAGTGTAATTTGTTCTTTTACATTAAATACGGTCCACATTTTGATGTAAAGTATTTTTCAAATTATCACTCACCATTTTTACAAACTACTTCTCAACAGTGAATGGTAAACATAGTTTGAAAGGCATCATTTCGCGTGCATTCATCGAGTTTATTCAGCTTCGTTTATATATAGACTATGTTGTACTTTGCTTTTTATGCTATTTTGAAGCACATTCTTGAATTTTCAAGGAGGAATTAACTTCTAGCTAAATGCAGTTAGTTGTTTCGTCATCATTCAACAAGTGTTCAAGTTTACTTTAAGCTGAACATATTTCAGAAGTAGCTGTTAACTTTTGTAATGAGAGACATTCTATAATACTTAATTTGATACAGTATTCACAGTGTTGCCGAGACGCCATGGTATGGCCGATAGTTGTTGCAGTATTCCCACTCTTCATCTAAAAATGCTATCATACGGCCATACTTTCATCACCTCTGCCAAAGAAGTCCTACTCGCTATGTTCACTTGTCGGTAGTTTTCAGTGGACTGGATAAATGGTTTACATAGAGCATCTGTAAGTGGTGCACATGGATTATATGATCGGTAGAACATAAATGACGTACAAGCCTACTTCGATCACTTTGAACCATAAGAATGTACCACCTGATGTTCCTCTACTGTTTGGTTAATGTTAGGCTTCAAGTCAAGTGTCTGGGGAATAGTCTCTCTCAAGACAACCTGCTGATTTCGTGCGTCTAGATGATAGGAGTCATTGGTTGGAGACTCATGATAAAATGGCTGAAAAGTGGTCACACTTGCGCAGATGTATGTACTCTTTGAAGTCTTGGACACTTTCACTAACCTTCATCTATGTGTCTTCTCAACTGTCGTACACTAATGCCTATCAAAATTACACTTTCCTCCTGTCTGTCTCCCCTTTTTACTGCTGCTGTTGAAGTGTACCAACTTAAAGCGACGCACTTTTGTGCCAGGTTCTACGTTTGTTCGTATGTCTCTAAGACAACCATCTACTTCGATATAGGTTTCCTCACAGTATCTTATCCCTCTTGTAATTTGTGTATGATGATATCGCACATTTCTTGATGGCTATGCTGTGCTGAACTTGTTAATTGATGAAGTGTATTTACTTTTGAAGTCAACTGATAAGTCATGATAATCTACTTTCGCTTTCGGTAACAGACATGAGATTAATTCCCTCTTAACTGAATTGTTAAAGGTTTCATTAAGGTGTCTTCAAATCATTTATCCGATACTATCAACCCTAAGGAGATAATAAAGATTAGATCAACTACGATTTGTCCACAAACTGAACTTAAAATCGATTCCAAATTTCTGTGTGCCTACCAGTGCTAATGTTTCTTAGGTTGAATCAAAGCTTTGTACATATTTAACAGAAAAAGAAAATTTTATCTTCGTTTTTTGTTTGTAAAACTTGAAAAAAATTATTGAAACATGAGTTTCTGACTTTACCGGACTGCAAGAAGTGTTGAAATGGCATATTTAGTGCATTTCATGATTTCACTATAGTGATCACTTTTACTCTTTTTTTGGATGGGTGTCGTTTAGTTACATTTATAAACGTTCGTAAACTCATGGTGATATGGCACAGATGCTTTCTAGTGTCACTTTGATGTTAACTCTATATTAATCATAGATTCAAAACGTTGTATATAATCACCAATAATTAATTGACTGGACGTCGAAATCCACACAGCAACCTTGTACACAATCGTGCAGCAGGCAGTGAGTCACGCTTCTTGTGTGAGGGCTGATGATACTACCTGGCTGCCTAAACCTCTGTAGGCGAAGTGGTATTCGAATCCGTGATCCATTAGTTGAAAGTCATCTCCGTTAACCAATGAACCACAGTTCCACAAAGGGTTATCCACTAGGCCACTAAGGCCTAACTCGAAATCGGTTGGTTATGAACCACACTTAGTGTTCAAAGGCTTATAGTATTACTCAGGTGCAGAAGCCAAAGTAGGTACAGGAAAATCTAAACTTCAAATCCAATTCTTGAAAGTTAAGTGTATAAGCGAATAAACAAAGCGAATTTCTACTCAAATCAGTGCAGTCTTCATGTACGAGGCTATGAGCCTCACCTATAATTCGAAGGATTATATGCAATACTGCTTCACTGGAGTGGATGTTAGTGCTGAAGCTTTTTTGTCAGAAGCCGCATGCGTTAGCAGATAAACCATATCTCCATCACTTGCTGCAGCTTTAATACTAAATTATAATTTGTAGATGGTTATCGTTTCTCTCTGTTTTCAGGCCGTTTCAAGTGTAAACATAATTTGTAACTCAGTAGTTTAAATGGTTAGCTCTCGAACAACCAGTGCCCTATTTTCGTTGTACTGCTGGGCATTATCTATCATTTAAGCTGACTTATTAAGCGCCATTCATAACTTCGAACAAACATACTTCATAAACCACCATTCAATAACTCTTGTCATTGAATTCTTGTTTGTTAAGGTAATTGTTTGATTTATTTGTGTAGAAAATAAAAGAACAGATACTCCGTTGAAGATAAGTGATATCTTTATAGTTTTCGTGGCTTTATTACAATTCCCTCTTTAGATGTTGTCCCTACTTTATATCAAGAGAATTGAAGACCGATTCGAATCTGGTATTTATGCCGTATAACTATCTACTCGATCCAAGAGTAAGCAGTTTAAGCTTTTATGTGTTTGTGGATATTATGTTATTGTATGCAGATACTACGCGGATGGTCAATATGTTACTTATTAGTTACTATTATTATTATTATTATTACTATCACTATCCAATGAGTCTATATTTTTCTTAACGATCAGAACCACAGGCCTTGAGTTCATGAATTAGTGCTTGGTTTTAATTTGATTCTCATGCGATTTGTTTCGCGTTGCTTTTAATTCGAGCGACAGTGCAGGTCGAAGTGTGACTCTTTGCTTCAGACATTTAACTTTTGATTTAGTGGATTATGAGTTAGACAATGTATCACACACAACTTTCAAGTCCTTCTTTTACAATAACGAATTTCCTGCAGCTTATCGACGAATGACTGACTGATTTGCAACCTCATGCATTCCGTCCCAGTGAAAAATCGTAAAAACAACAAGGTTCGGTGAATAACTTGAGCTCAATTCATTTTGAACCTGTAGATTATAATACAAATGTTAGGACTAGTAAATGAGTGGCAAAATCCACAAAGCGTACAAAACGGCTGAATCTGAAGAATACAAGGAGCAAATGATTTACGAACCATAGAAAAAGCTGATAGTTATTTATTCTTGACAAAGGAGAAATATGAAAAAATGACCTTGTCCAGGTTACAAGCTACAAAACGATGAAATCATGAACAAACGAAGCAATCAGAATAAATTTAATCGAGCTAAAGTTATTGGATTAATAGAGGATAAAACTAAGTGATAAAAATGATATGAGGATACAATGTTGGTTACCACCTTAGTGAGAAGCTGACCACATTTATCCTTTGTATACAAAGGTTTAATGGAAGGCATTTTAATAGATATAGCCTGTGTGAAGCGAATTTGACTTTATATTGCTTGTGTATTGGTTCTCTTGCTGAAGGCTTGTGTGATATCGATTTCAACACATCAAAATATACCACCCATATTTATGAATCGTAATAGTCTAGTTCATCGCAACTCTCGTGGTTGCTGGTTTGAATCCTGCCTTAGTTGAGGTTTTTATTCAATCTTAAATCATCATATCGTGTCAATTGTGTCCCACCTAATTTTTGCTCTTCTTATTTTCATTCCGTGTAGATTCGAAGTTTGTATAATATTAATCTTGAAAATACAGCTGTTATTTTTGATGAAGCTCACAATATTGTAAGTTTTTAAGAACTCTTCATTTTGTATGAAAGTGGATTTTGCTAAATGCTGTCCTCATTCCATGCTTAGTAGTAACTTCATCAATTTAATTACCAGTTGGTCATTTCAGTAAGTTTCTGCTATAGTTTCATCACGCTGACAATAATTCTCGTCTTTTAATGTGCTTATGCTATTATAACTTTAGTAATACAGTTTAGTTAACTGTATAATAGTCTTATTTGGAATTTTTACTCGCTTGTATGCAATGTAGAATCAAAATGCGTCTGAATCACTTAATGGAAATTAACCATGTTATCTGATTTCCAAGAATATGTAGCTCGTTAACTTAGAAACTTGACTTTCGAACAGTAGGTCCCAGGTCCGAACCTCGCTTCGTCTACTTCCGCTTAAGCAATCAGATAGCATTATAAGCCTTCAGACGACAAGTGTACCTCAGAGCTTGGCATATAAACATGTAATGGGTTGAGTAGCATGATGATAAAAATGAAATCTGATGTTCCTAGCATCTAATTTCAAATATATCGGTTTTTTATTCTGCTCGAAGCTTATAGGTGGTTGACGTTTCCCAAGTGACCACAACACAGCAGAAGTTGTTCCTGAAATGGTGGGTGGATTAGTTTTCCGTGACCGCAGAGCCTAAAGAATATCTTCAGACTTATCACATGTGGTTTTACTAAGAGTTTTAGAATGAGATCTCATTGGGCTACAGTCGGGAAAGACGACTAATACAACCGGGACCAGGATACTCGATATTTGGGGGGATTGTGCTATTTTCCGGCTGACCTCTTGTTAACCTTCCTTCTAAAAAGAAAGGTAGTACCAGAACCTACTGCTGATCATCCGCGGGAAACACCTTACTGCTGTGACACTCCGTCCAGACGGCAGTCCCGATTCGCCTTTGGACCTGTTTAGAACGGAATTCGCCTTTAGTCTTAGCCTTATTCGGATAAGCTTTTTGGGTGCTTGTGATATACATATGCAAACCCTACCACTACATCACGAAAACAGTTATCAGTCGGGACCACATCACTAAGTTTAAATGAATTGTATGGAATCCTCCGTTGGCAGCTGATATGGCTAATCGCAAAATTCATGATTCAAGGTAATATATCTATCTAGTTTATATAGGCCGTTTTTCATTGCACCCCTACATCTTTAGTTATCGTACATTGAGAATGTTAGTGTTCTCAGAAAAGCATACTTTTGGAATATTCTAGTAGATGAACTTTCCTAGTCTCGTATACCTTTGATGTTGTTTACATAAGAAGCCCATACATAACCTATACATTGTTACTTCAACAGTTCCAGCAACAAGGGACCATTTTTTCAAAACGACCAGCCAATGGATAGATATCTTTTATTCACGTTATTGAGTGCGTTTCATAAAATGAGATGTAACACATTAAACTCCCATCCTATGCATGTGAGAATCTAGCTTTGTGTCACGAGGTGAACAAAGCGTTAAAAAATATCCTTCTCCAACACCGTATATCTATCATATGCCCTACAGATTGCTTAATGAAGTAGATTGTTTGTTTGTGATGATTTGTGATCCAGTATTATTTACTGGATGTTTCGAGCATAATTTATTTAAACAGCGCGATAAGAAGATGAAGGCTATCTGAAACATATGGTGTATTAGCACGACACATTTCGAACAATCTGATCACACATGGACTTGTCGAACTATTTATGTGGAAAAGGGTCAATGAAGTTAATTGGAAACATAGTTAAACTAAGTGAACGTCTAAAAGAATCCATACATTGAGTGTTTTGAACAAGTTGCTTTTTATCAAGCGGTTGATTAAAGAATCTAACTAAAGATACTTGGCACACTTTTCCTACAAACTCCCGGCCTCAATTTTGTCGTCCGAGTATTTTCAAGCTTGCGTCACAGATAGAAATTTCAATTATTTACTTAAACTACTTGTAAGTAGCATGAGACATACTATGAAATTCCTTTCATACATTTTTTATCAGGAGCAAGTCTGTGAAGATGCTTCATCAGTTACACTGACTTCTGCCTTACTAGCAGCCGCTATTGAACATGTTCGATGTGTTTGCGAAGTTGTGTTCAACCATACTATGGAAAGTGAAGAAGCCGAATTAGCAGATGAGATGAATTCCATTAATAACGGGCAGAAACAATCTACATCTACAGTTGTTATGCCTCGAATGGGACTGTTTGATATGACACAACCTAAAGAGACTGCAAGTATGTGATATTGCTTAGGTGATAATGAGCGCTTCTTTTAATTGATTTTCAGTTGAAGCTTTGAGTATTGAGAAAATGATTACATTGAAGGGTAATTGAATTATTCTCTTATGACTAATAAAATGTAGGACAGCTTATAGAACTGGAAAGATTAATTGATGAATTGAGTGTTCCCAGCGAAGGGCTTACTAAAGACGGCAGGTAGGTTTTTTTATTATTATGTTGTGTTTGAATTGTGCTGTTAATAATTCTACGGGTTACTCTGTAGAGGACTATTTAATCTCACCGACAAACAATGTCATGTGTTTTTTGAACATCCCAGTTTTTTTCACTTGTGATACCTATCTGAAGCAAACGCAAATCCTTCAGGTTGATTGTATAAGGCTTCAACTAAAAAGCATAGACAGATAAAATGGCCCAGAACCTTATACAAAGCTTATTGGTTTAGATTGAAACCTAGCAACGACATAGGGGGGGAGACAGACGGAAGAAATCAACGAAGTTCATGGACCTAAAAGGAGGAGGAAAAAGCGAATAAAAGATATTAAGGAGGATAAGAAGAATATACACCTACGAAATTGTAAAGGATTTTGAGGTATTTAACTTATCTCTTGCAGTGGTTAACTCCTAACATCCCGAGGGTCCTGTTTGGAGTTGTTGCACATTGGTCTAGGCACTTGATTTTCTACCGATAGGTCACGGGTTCAACTTCAGCTCCATCTACCGAGGTCTGAACAGCTAGGTAGTATCATAAACCCTCATACAATAGGTGTGTCTCGTTGTCTACTGCAAAAGCATGCATATAGCTGCTGATTATATTGAGGATGTTGCCCACTCAGAATGCGTACACACTTTAGTGACTTCAACAAAAAATGAGTAAATTTATGCGTTGGCCTGATATTTTGATATAACCGCCCCTAGATATTTCATTGTCTAACTCTAGTGAGATTAACATTGCCCATCGAGATGGCTGTTGTTTTTGCATGTGTAAGACAACTCTTAACCACCGTGATGAGTCCATATTAGCATTCTTATTCGTTGACTTGTCTTTCTTGCCTGGCACTTGGTGTCTGATTTAAAATAATTGTCCAAACCATGATTCCCCTTCAAATAAAAAGTACTTTGAAGATATTTAGGGCTAAAATCTGCAGCCCTTGTATTTTCTGTGTTTAACGGACATGTCTTAGCTCAAAATCAGGACGAAAATGACTGCTAAGTGTTATACTTGGCTTCTGACAGAAAGCAGAGTATTCTATTCACTTCAAAAATAACACGTATAGGCAAATGTTAAGCGGAGTTTTTGTATCTGTGCTGAGATTTCCTTCGAAGATTACGATTCTGATTGAGGGATAAGATGATATTCGCTGATACAAACCTATTAGTTTGAATCTCAATGTTCTTGTTGTCAGAGCTAAAGGCCGGGGTTTCAGCTCAGAGGAGGAATTCTGCTTGTATGCGGCGCTCTAAAGTTTAAGAACAGAACTGGATATCTATGCAGTACACTTTTATTTTAGTTGGATAGAGGCAATTGACAAGAAGCCATGAACTTAAGTTCCGTGCCCCTTGACGCTCGCCAACAAGGCATATGCGCAACCCCGATAGAATTGATGTCCCACCTGAATTTCGAGCCCATGTGACCCAGTACTGGTGTTAGAGGCGTTACCACTGATCTATTTGGGCTGCGATTGATCTCCTATGAGACTGGATTAGGTGCAAAGTTATCGGTAGAATTCGGTCAGCACTTAAAGTTAGACAACATGAAGTTCGTTACCCTCCATCTACCAATCGTATAAATCTTGGTTTTCAATACTTACTAGGGGGGGGGGGGAGGATGGACGTTGTCATCATCATCTCTTTTATGCATTGTCTTTTCTTTATTATATTATTATCTTCTTCGATAGAATGAACGATTTGCAAGTGATTTACTAATTGTACGGCTCACGTTGACATTTCTGTTAACTGAAGAGCTTTTCAACTGTCCAACTGGAGTATTAACAGTGTTTCCATTGGAAATCGCCCAATCGAGATCAAAAGGAATGATCTCTGTCACAATGTGTCATGAACTATCGAAATATGCTACTGAAAACTTGGGTGGTTAGAAATGAATCAGACCGGTTTGTAAATTTCGCTGGCCAAATCTGAGTAGTCTAAACACCGGACGGCCGTTCCACTCGTTTTACTGAGTAGTTTTCAACAGGAACCCTGTTGGTGCCTCAGTTGGGTGATTGAAAAACTACTCAACGTGAACCGTGCAGTCTGTAAATCGTTTGCAAAGTGTTCATCCTAGTTAAGGAGTACCGGTCTATACAAGTCAGCTAACCAGCCAGTTTCAGTTGGTCTGGACAATTCGGCTCTATGAGCAGAATTTGTTCGGTTACGCCACTGATGAGTTCCAAATGAGCAAACCAGCTGTAGAGTGTTAAAATCACTCTGATCTAGGTAGCAAAATCTACAGATCAACCTAAGTCGTTTCTAACTACTCATTTTCTGCAGTAGTATGTTTCGATTACCGTCTTCTCTCTCTCACTGGATTTCTTCTTTTTGTTAAATTTCTCAGTTTCATATTTGAGCTTCTCAGTAGAGCGGGAATCAATCACTGGACAAACAATACAATACAGACTGTAATCGATGAAATCATCTCATTTACGAATTCTACACATAGTAAGTCGATCATTTCTACTTTTTTTTTAATCATTTTCTTTTTTCATGTATTTCCTGCGATTATAAGTTACCTAGAAGTTGATGGATGCTAGCAGTCATGTAGTGGTGCTCAAAAAAGAAGTGCAGATTTGTGTACTTTAGTTGATGATTCTACTTGGTTGTACAAACGTTAGTAAGTAGAACAGGCTTCAAACCAGTGACCTGCTTGTCAAAAGTTGACTACCCAAACCATCAAACTACAGCTCCGTTGTGCTGTAGGTGATGAGAAATGCTTGATCTATCTTTAAATTGATGTTCGCTGTCCGGTGGATTACTAATAGACAAGATTCCAGAATTGGTTTGCTGGGAGCACTCGGAGTTTTATGATAGAGAGTGAAGTAACGAAATGTGTCAACTTCACTTACTTGGGGAGTTGCATCAACCCGAACGGGTTGGTTGCTGACGAAATTTCAGCTTGGATACCAAATGCCCGTTTAGCATTTGCAAACTGCCTTCATATCTGACACCGGTTGGTGAAATATCTGACTATCATAGGACGAGTATACTGCATTGCACTCCGTTCTGTCCTGTAATACGACTATGAGGCATGGCCGTTAAAAGTGGAAGATATGAAACGATCACAGATTTTTGATCACCTGTGTCTTCGTAACGTTGTTCGTATTGAGTGGAATCACCGTGCGAGCAATGTTGACGTCAGACGAACGGTACTAGGCAAGAGAGGCAATTCGACTGATGAGGTTGTGAACCTCAGTCGACTGAGCTGGCTTTGACATATGCTGTGCATATCGATCCACCTCCTACCTCGACGTGCCATGCTAGGGGAAGCTGGAATACGTTGGAAGAGGATTCAGAGTGGCCAGACCAAGACGTCTTATCAGTCGATTAAGTCTTCTACTGTTGGTCTCAGTCGTATGAGGAGATGTAGACTGCCTACGTGGTTGGGATCTCCGAGACGATATGAATCGGTGGTTGAGGACTCTTGGTAACATGACTAAAAATCAGTCACTATGGAGTAAATATATTCACTCCTTGACATTTTCAAAAGCTTGAGTATTTTCACTAACCTTTATCCTTAGACTGTTTATTCTATGACACAACTTCTTCTTTGATATCAGTCTTTTTCTATCCACCTATTGTTTGTGTACTACTGTGATGTGTAGCAACTTGAGGCGATGCATCTGTATGCGAGGTTCTAAGTTAATTTAGTCAGTTAGTTAGGATATTTGTAAATTATTTGTTAAAGCCTTTTATATACAAGCAATGCAACTAAGCACATAGGAGCACTTATGCTCAAACAAGCGAATTCCTTGTGCATTTATCCGTAGCTTTGTGCATCACTAATTGTGTGACTGTGAAATTAATACGTCATTTTAGCGCTTTGAATATCCCTTGAATAGTTTTGTTCAGTTGGCATGTTAGGATGTCGCTAGCTGTGGATGAATGACTTCAGCTTTCACAGTCCTCCACCCCCCACACTTTTCAGTCCTCACGAATTATATGTTGGTTTCTCCGTTGCTGACATTTAATTCCATTCTAGTCTGCTTATTAGAAACATTACACAGTGAAACAGTAGCACTTACTGGATAACGTTTCGGACACAATTTATTATCCATATTCATATCAGGTAACTAAAGCCACAACTTCGAGACAGGCTTTATATATTCCTAATTATCTCTCCTTCTCTGTGATGACAAGGGTAGTGGAATCCTGGATATATCTGGGACAGGTGTAGAATCATTTCGAATGCATGCATTCGGTGTTGATTCGATAAACAAAGATTCGGTTATCAGTCTCTCTCCACTCAATTAAGTTAGTTTTCAACAATGTCACTCTATCGTACCCTATTGTGTGTCATCGCATGCAGAGCTATAGCCGAGCTTTTCTCTAGATTTCTTATCTTATTAGAATCGACTAATCTTGATTTAGCTAAGCTTTTGGGGATTGTTATCTCATCGACCCTGGTCGACTGCTTTGACCTATGTATTTGACCTCGCAATGATTGCAGGGGATCTGTCTGGCAAGACAGCTAATTTTGCTTAATTGCATCGATAAGATCTTGTAACCTAGAGAGCTTGTCTGTAAGCGAGTTTATTGGTGTAAATGCCCACCACTTTAATCTTAGTCAGCCTTATATTGAGAATTGTTCGTAATGCTTGTGAGGTGTCTTCCTTGTATGGTAAGACAGCAGAGGCTTTGAATTCTCTCTTAACCCTGTCACCATTATTACCATTAATAGTGGAATTATCATTAATAATTGCCTGTAGATCTTTCAGTTTGTGCGACATTAGACATAAATCATCATCGGCGAAATCTGAATCTTCTTCTGGGGGGTTTTTTCATCGGTCAAGTTAGAGTATCCTCATCTTCTCCCTCTTCACATTTTGTTGCATGTTTCAGTCCGGTCCAGTCGACCACAATCAAGTAGATCATCGGGGATAGTGGGTGGCAACCTTGTTTTACTCGTATCCCCTGTCTTCACTTCAAAGGCGTCACTGAGCTTTCATTTATAAATTTAGGTGAGTAATTATTGAGACGCAAGGTATTCTTGATGTGTCTCATTTCTTGCTGTAGATTTTCCGGTCTACTAGTAGGCTTTTTCGCCCTTTCAGTTAAATATGTAACTAAGCCTACTTTAACTGACATTTACCTTTAACTAGTTTTCTTTCATCTTGGATAAGTGTTAAGCTATGAAAAATAGATTTACTGTCCAGCTCGCGCAATATTTCAGAAGAAATCTTACTGAGTGAACCTATTCGTTCTATTGGTAAATGAATGAAACGGGTGAATGGAGGACCTTATCCTTTCGAATCCATAAGCACCCATCACTATTCTCTACGGTGAATCTCTTTACATTCATCTAATCTCACCTAGTTGGATATCGAACTTCAAATTAATATTGATGAATCGTTTCACTATTGTCTTTAGAAATTCATATATTTTAAGACATTAGGGAAAACTTGAAACCGTCATTTACAATAGCAGATTAGCTGAAGTTGTCCTATTTTCCAACAGCATATCGATAGAAATATAATCTCTGTACCTCATAGAAAAATAGGGAATGTTACTTTAACATTGTGAGGGACTATGATCCGTATCACCATTTAGCTCGAATTAATTGGTTACATTGGGTGTACAGTCAGGCAATTCCGTCATCGAGCGTTTCCATACACCATCCGTCTTGGTTAAGCAAATGATAGAGAAAATCGATACGAAGCTTCATACTTTCTCATCTGGTTAACATTGGCCACCAAGTTGGTATTAATTTTTCTGTTCAAATCAAAGTTTTACTTCACAAATATTTGAAAAGATTATTAACAGTTTATAAAATAAGTGGTTCACTGTAAGTTGAAAAATCTTTGTCGACTTTTATTTTGTTGTAGATGTCAAAATTCGTAAAACAAAGGGTTTACATGAAGTCGCTGAATTTCTAAAGGTAAGTTAATTGATAAATGCTAATAACGAGATGGAACTCTCTTAATAGATTGGACTGATTGTTCCTCTTTCTATCCCCTCTTCCTGTTTTCCATCTAGCGTCTCACACTTTATTGAATTATGCAAATATTCGAAGACAGTATTTGGTGTGTTACTTCAACAAATACATCATTGTACATAACTACAATTTAGATGTACTGAGAAAAATGTAGTGGAACAAAGTAGTTGACTACTGTGTGATTAATTCTAGTTGGTGTAGTAGGAATTATCCTCGCGAAATCATAAGTCAAATTATTCAGTAAGTCAGGGTAGAGTAAAGTTTATTTTAACACTCCCTAACATCCTAGAATGATAATCTCTACTTCACCTACCTTCTGTTAATAGGCTTCATCGTGTTTCTCTTGCTTTCTATTTTATGTTCTGTTTAACTTCGTATGACTCATACTACCTTTTTTACTGAGGGTCGCATAAAAATGCTGTTCACTGACGCTGAAATCAGTTCCAGTTTTTTTTATTAACTTCTACCATCTTGTTGAAAATATTAACCATAGAAAAATTATGTTGGAGCATATTATATTGAAAATTGATATAATTTACTTGTTTAGATTAATACCAAGTGATTTTACACAAGTAATTGGACAGTCAATAGTAGACTATCAAAACTGCCTAAACTAGCCTCATTTTCATTTGGAGGTTTTTGGGGATTTTATTGATTTCAAGTTGGTATTCATTATGGACTGATAGGGATTCCAACCCAGTAGCTCAATGGTGATGTACTAACTGAAGAACCTGAATGTCCTGGGTTCGGTCCCCCAGCAGGATCATGGGTGCGCACTGCTGACGACTCCTACACTAGAACGAAACAGCTGTCCAACGCTCCTAGGTTTTCAATGGTTCTCCACTTGATTTCAATCCATGATGAATACTAACTAGCCTCATGTTGTTTTTCAAAGATCTCAATATATCCAGAGTCACAAAAAAAGACTTTAACAAACATATTTGTTTTCAGTGGTATCGTTTTCAAAAGCTGATTTTGAATTTTGAGATCTAAAGAACATTCTTTGCATCCACTCTTGAAATACTATATTAGGCGCTAACCGGTGAACATATATACGAAGGACAAACTGTTGGCCACATCCAGCTGTATATATCAATCCACGTACTCTTATAGACCTGGGTATGTAGGCCATACACAAAAACAAATTGACCAATATCTACCCTAACACCTTCCAAGAAGGTCTATGAGAGTTGATCAGTGGCCTCATCTTATAAAATTTAGCTAACAGTGGGCATGTTGTCCCAAACAGTTAGTTTCATGTAGTCCGCAAAGTACAATGTAATCGTCTAAAAGGTATGATACAACCTTCACTTTGCACTACTGAAGCTGCGGTAATGCGAAAATGGGAATCAGAATTGTTCATCCAGAAGCGAACTTTCCATTCACTTTCCTGATTCACTTAATTTCTCCCCTTTCTAATTCTTAAGCTTAGCTAGTCCTTTTTTCGATGTCCATCTCGTCATTGTATAAAACTTTTCATCCTAGTTACTTATTTCTCATTCTCCTTACGCTGGCAACTGTTTACTCGCTTTGTTACGCATTCCTTGTTTCTTGATCTCGACTAACCTACCTATTTACAGTGTCAAATATTTTCATGTTACTTATACACAAAGTGTTAAGAAAGGTTGTGTAGCAAACCAAGTTTTTTTTAATCACTGAATGGGTACATTAATTATATTTAGATGTGAAACTGCAACAAATCTGTTTGTTAAAGTCTTTTATCTTCCTTTTTCATTTAGTCATAAGGAAACAGTATCAAATCTAAAACAGCGATTTTTAGACTCCAGCTAAAATGATCCGCGAAAACCCATAAGTTCGAAACCAAAATATTAAGTTTTATTGTCTAGGCTGTGCTGTAAGTAACGATTATCATCGAAATAATAATGATAACAACCTTTTATTGTGGAGCTTCTGTGTAGGGCGAGGGCATCGAACCACTTACAAAGAAGAAGTAACAAGAATTAGCTAAGCAATCTACAAATAATGCACAGTAGAGATTAGTAGTGCACTCTACAAACAAGTAAATTAATCAAATGATCGAAAGACTAGTTCATACACAAAATCAACCAGAGTAGTGTAGTCAGCTAATTGCAATGGAGGTTACAAGCAAAAAATGCGTAAACATGCCGAAGGGAGCAAGACTTATAACTAACACACAGAAATCAGCAGTCGAAAAGGAGTGAATAGATGGATAATTATGTTTTGCGCTACAACTTATCGGGATACTAAATTTGACACAATGATATGCATTACATACTCAACACCATTCGAGGCATTTTCTCAACCCAGGTAGATTAGAGCGAAATGATATGTTAATCCAAAGTGGATACGCCTAAAACATCTACTGAAATCGTTTCAAATGTATATTACACCTTAAAGATGCAATGTCATGCCATTTGTATCACAGTCATCTTAGTAAACAACTCAATATCTATGTTATATAGGGTCAAAACTACTCCATATGACTCTACTTCCAGTCAGTTGGGTAGTTTTGTGAATGTAAGCGTGATCCAGTCCGCGAATAAATAAATGTTGAAATGAATCATTGGTCTTTTTGTAGTCGAATCTAACCGAATTCCCAGTGACCGGATTAATTCACATGGTTCATTCCACTCATATGTTATTCAGTTTTTGTATCATTTGCAATTGAAAACAATTTTAAAAGAACTACAATGAGAATTTGTTAGGGATATGGGATCCCTAAAGAAACTAACTTATACTATGCGTATATTATCATTGCAAAATTTAAGCCTTACTTTCACAAGTTTTCCACTCCACGCCATGTTACCTATTTTTACCACAGTTCAAGATGATAATCGCTGTTTGGTTCACGTTACACTTTTAATTTGCCATTTTATTTTCCCCGCTGAAGGCCTCGTACATAAATGACTGAGTTTTCAGCTATAATCACTCCATTCGATTGAAGTAAGTATACTTACGATCCCATTTTTTATTTCTTCTGGTGTCGACCAAATATCGTGCTATGAAGTCATTGTTCTAACGTTAATCGTATCACGTTAATCCATCCAAGTCAACATAGGACCACGCATTACTGACTAACAGTCCGAGTTGCCATACATATCAGTGCATCAAGTAAAAGGCAGTGAAGTGGAAGGTGAAGAGAAGAAAATCCAGTCAAAAGAAATATGAAGTACAAAAAGAGAAAAGGAAGAATGAGAAAATGATAGGATTCGGTATAGCGTCGTTAAGATGAGGATAATGTATGTATACATCTGCGCCACTGACATCGGTTCTCAGCCATGCAATCGCCTAGAGTCTCTAACCACTGGTTTCTCTTGTCCAGAGTACCCAGCCATCTAGTCTGTATCACCCCACATGGCTCAAACCAACAGTCAGAGACTTTATACATTGATGCTATGTTTTAGTATGGCCACCTTGGGTCTTTTTCCAGCCTGAACCTACTTCGGTCAACATTGTGTGACGAGGCAATCGGTGACTAGGCATGTGTAATACGTGTTCCAACCATCTCAACCGATGAAGGTTCATAACCTCGTCAGCTGATTCACCTCTTCTCCCTAAAACTCTATACCTGACTTTTGCATTACTCACTTAGTGACACCATTGAATACAGCCTATACTATGAAGACAACGGTGGTAAAAAACCTGAAACCTCTTCATGTCTTCCACCTTCAATGGCCATTTTTCACAGTCATAGAGTAGAACAGATCGGACTGCTGTGCAGTACATGCGACCCTTAATAGACAATCGGATATCACGGCGGCGCTACAGGTGGAGTAAGTTAGCAAAAGCCAGTCGAGCCTTTTGTATTCGTGCAGAGATTTCACCGGCCACTGAGCCATCAGGGCTGATTTTACTTCTCACGTAAGTGAAGTGGTCGACACATTCAACCACTACAGTCTCTATTGTTAGCCGTGGCACCGTTGAAGACCAATTGTGGAGCGAAAATTTACATTTGGGTGGTGAGAAACGCATCCCAAACATTCTCAGATTGCCACTCAAAGTGTCCAGAAGACTCTGCATTTTGTCAGCATCTTCACGTAACAGGACTATGTCATCTGCATATAAAAAAGAATTGGTGAATTTAATAATTCAAGTGAACAATTTTACTAGTTTCTCTGTTATTGCTTGAATTCACAGTGGAATTATGTCTAAAGTAATTATGTTTCCTGGGCCTTAAGTATCGGATTTTGGGCAGAGGAGGATGGGTAGGGTAAAATTAACCAATGTTTCGTTGAATGAGCTGATCATAGTACCATAAATACGTTTCTGCCTATACCATAACTGATCTTATCTTCACCTGATTTCTCCATTTTCAGTTTCTTTTTGTATCATACACTGAAATATCAGAGTTGCCTACCGTTGTGAAGTGAATCATTACCTCTTAGATTCTTCAAAGGAGTCCAGAATTACTTGAAAGCTTTCACAACCAATTGTAACACGCTAAATGTTCGCTAATAACCACGCGATTATACACGTGCGCATTACACTGGCTACTTGTCTTTCTAGAAAGGTGTGAAAAATATCAATGTCGCTGAGAGTAAATGTATGTACCGTTACGTTTCGTACAGATTTTGACCTGACAGTAATTTAGGATGCTCGTTTCGTCCTTTTTTTGGCTCGTCAGTTGGATATACCGGCTGTCCTAGATTCGACTGCTACCCACTGTCCATCATCAATATCGAACTGAAAGCAATGGTAATGTAGAGATATTCACACAGGATTGCATAGGTCAAAAGTGGTCTGTCAATTCGGTCCAGTCAATGACAAGAAGTTACAAGCTATAACACCTAAGCTCTATAATAAGTGCTTTATCATTTTGCCACTTGTTTGCGCTTTTGAGAAACCGAGTGACCCTCAAAGGTGACGCCTAAGGTTATTGTTCAGGAGTCCACACTTGTATCGATTACTGACCTTGTATCACCTATAAAATTTGTTTACCTATAAAGGTAGTAAATTTTAAAACCCTTTGGGTTTTTATTCAGGTGAAATGAATTTCAATTTGATTCTTACTTGTTATAGAACAGTTACTTAGACTGCTCGGTCAACCAAGCTGATATGGGTGGATAGCGTTTTTAACTCGTTGTCTTATGACGGAGAATTGGATAACTAGCCTTATAATCTCTTGAACTTCAAATATAACTCATTTTGGCGATAAGCTGTCATAGACTACTGAAAACTAACTTACCTCATGGGGTAACATTATTGATTGGAAGCTGACCAATCACGACCATGAGACTGTGTTGTGGGATATGCCGGATTTCGAATCACTTTACTCGATTTCCGTGGCTAACAGTATTTCCACTCCCCGTTAGTTCGTGGGTATTATACATTATATCATAATGTACTCCTAATTAAATTTAGAACACCTGACTCAAAGCTACTGGTTATTAAGGCAAGTAGAGCGCACCAAGTTGATGGTAGTAGTGTATATATGATATGATATATGTTTCGATACATCATCAATGAATATGAAGTTTAACTTTAATATTTTGTGGTGGACTCCTGGAGGTTAGTCAGAAACATATGTTGCTAAAATTAGCGAACGGCTATTGTTTACTTGACAGTAATGATATATAGTTCGTGGGAGTAGGATCCAGGATGCACGTTTCGTCCCATTTGGGACTTGTCAGCTGCCTCCCAGAGGGTGATGTTTTTCCCATTAATACTCGAACGCAGGATCGACCGCTCCAAATACCATAGTGTTATCTGCTAGGCTACTGAACTAGGATAGCCAGGGCTTGTGTGACGAATGTAGTTTTTAGGTTATAACTTGTAATTTTCCGTTATTGATCCTCCTTATTAGCTGCCTTATTTTCAATGATCATTATCAACTTGTAATGATTTGAGCTTTGTATTTCCTTTGGTTTTCTAGACTGTATTCGGTTATTTACCAGGTGAAGCAAATGTGACCTTCAACTTTAAGGCACAGTTCAAATTACAACACGATGAATCAATCAGTTGTTATCGTTTACATATTAAAGATGACATTTTATCATCTAATAATAATAATAGTAATAATAATAAACTTAAAACAAATGTTTGGGATACACGTGATCCTGGAAATGTGTCTAGTAATGCGGGCTCAACAAATCGTACTCTTAGTTATTGGTGTTTTAGTCCTGGACGGTGAGTAATACAATTTACTTTGTAAATGATTATTATTATAATGTTATTGAATAGTGAATCAAGCTGAATTAGTTTAAATTCTCGTGTTGTTCACCAGAACATACAACTAATTGTTTTATAAGATTGTTATAATGAATTACATAAATTAAGGAAGCTATAAAATCTGATCAACCATATTTTTAAATCAATTTTTATATTTATTTTAGATGATGATGACTTAGAAGATATTTTACAGTAATATTTGTGTAATCTTAAGGGTTACCACAGCAACGAACGAAGGTTGTTTTTCATAAAATACAGAAAAGTAATTCCATTTTAGTCTGCTCATTAGAAATATCACACAGTGAAACAGTAGCACTTACTGGATAACGTTTCGGACACAATTTATTATCCATATTCATATCAGGTAACTAAAGCCACAACTTCGAGACAGGCTTTATATATTCCTAATTATCTCTCCTTCTCTGTGATGACAAGGGTAGTGGAATCCTGGATATATCTGGGACAGGTGTAGAATCATTTCGAATGCATGCATTCGGTGTTGATTCGATAAACAAAGATTCGGTTATCAGTCTCTCTCCACTCAATTAAGTTAGTTTTCAACAATGTCACTCTATCGTACCCTACTGTGTGATTGTGTGTCATCGCATGCAGAGCTATAGCCGAGCTTTTCTCTAGATTTCTTATCTTATTAGAATCGACTAATCTTGATTTAGCTAAGCTTTTGGGGATTGTTATCTCATCGACCCTGGTCGACTGCTTTGACCTATGTATTTGACCTCGCAATGATTGCAGGGGATCTGTCTGGCAAGACAGCTAATTTTGCTTAATTGCATCGATAAGATCTTGTAACCTAGAGAGCTTGTCTGTAAGCGAGTTTATTGGTGTAAATGCCCACCACTTTAATCTTAGTCAGCCTTATTGAGAATTGTTCGTAATGCTTGTGAGGTGTCTTCCTTGTATGGTAAGACAGCAGAGGCTTTGAATTCTCTCTTAACCCTGTCACCATTATTGCCATTAGTAGTGGAATTATTATTAATAACACCTGTATCAGTACTACTACTGCCAGTACTTTGTTTTCGATTTCTTATGAATTTATTGATAAATTTTGGTGGGTGGCTATAGCTCTGCATGCGATGACACACAATAGGGTACGATAGAGTGACATTGTTGAAAACTAACTTAATTGAGTGGAGAGAGACTGATAACCGAATCTTTGTTTATCGAATCAACACCGAATGCATGCATTCGAAATGATTCTACACCTGTCCCAGATATATCCAGGATTCCACTACCCTTGTCATCACAGAGAAGGAGAGATAATTAGGAATATATAAAGCCTGTCTCGAAGTTGTGGCTTTAGTTACCTGATATGAATATGGATAATAAATTGTGTCCGAAACGTTATCCAGTAAGTGCTACTGTTTCACTGTGTGATATTTCTAATAAGCAGACTTAAATGCAGTTAAAATCAACCACAGTGCCCACGTCTTACTCTTATACACAGAAAAGTAAGTAGTTATTCTAGCGATTGTTAGGGTAGTCTTTAGAGTCACTCTATTCTCACAAGTCTTCCTGCCCATAAATTTTTGTTTCACACTCCTTTGTTTTAATCGTAATTACCACTTAACCGTAAACACTGTCCATGATGTTGTATCTTAAGTAACTATGTTGGGTATTTACAATTTATTATATGCTGTAAAGATTTTATTCAGCCTTATAAACTCATCAACTGTAAATCTAGAAAATAGAGAGATTATCAGTAAAACGGTTTTGAATAACTCATCATTTTAGTTGATTCCGAATCGATAGAAATGGTACAGATGTATCCATACATCATCTTGCATAAGAGGTGGTTCCCATGACTGAATAGCTTAGTGCATGACACTCTGGTGTTTGAAGTGGTTTTCAATGGGACTACCATCATTCACTAGGATTCAGGTACATCCAGCTGACGAGTCGTAGATAATACGAAATACTCTTTTTGGATATTAAGACTAGCACACATCAAGCAAATTACAAAAGTATCATACGAGCTGAAAATAAATATTGGTATTCTACTTGTCTTTGTCGTATCAATACATATTCCATACTTTTCTTTTTTAACTTTTAGTGCTATACAAGAGTTAATACGACAAAATGTTCGTTGTATCATTTTAACTAGTGGGACACTCTATCCAGTTGAACCATTGGAAGCTGAACTAAGCATGTAAGTTGATACCTTAAAACAAATACTTTTTATTCATAATCAATTATGCGTAAAAGGCTCTATAGACTAATAAATTTTGACTGGAGAGTTAATGCATTTTAAGGGCGACTTTAAAGGCCACCCTAGCAACTGTTCAGATAACTAATTACTTTCTTCTATTTAACGAAAAACTACCCACTCAGGCGGAATATTTAAATCTGATTCGTTATTTCAGTAGTTGCTATGGTGGCCTTTAAAGTCACTCTGAAAACCTGCCTTTCTAATCGAAATAAAGAAGCATAATTGGCCCTTTCATAAAAAACTTTCTTTCTAACTAAAACAGAGAGATATAATTGGTTATTTAAGTGGTCATTAGGATGGCCATTATAGTCACTCCAAGTTTTGAGGTTTGACATTACCGCCTCAACGGTAGGCAGTGTGTTCATATTATCTAACTGCAATGAGTCTTGACGTCTATGTCGAAACCAAACTACTAGTTAAAAATGGTCGACTTTAAAGACGACCCTAGTAACAACTGAAATGACCAATTGGACTTCTCTATTTCATAAAAAGCTGCCTTTCTAACCGAAATAAAAAACACTAGTTGGTTTTTTAGATTGTTGCTAGGGTGGTCTTTAAAGTCACCCTTTATCCTCATGCATTGATATGAGCGACAAAATGTTGACGTTTCATAGCCAACCAATCACAAACCACTTCCTTCTTCAGGGCAAGTTATTGAATCACTCACGTAGAAATACTGATAGCTTATTTTGCTTTGGAGTTAGTGCGCTGATGACGCTTCACAATTGAACCACTTAACTCAGAGAACGCAACAAAACCAAAATAAATATGACTAGTGGGAAGTGATGAAACAGAATGCCGGTCAAAAGAGATCTATTCTTCAGTGGATGAAAGTACTCTACCTCATTCTGTTTTGTCCGTCACACTCAGAAATGTTTGTTATTTCAATGGTAAAAAAGTTCAGGGAGTGATTGTTGGACTTTTAGATAGGATTCATTGCCTCTTGATCGAAACTTCTTACGACTATTCGCCACTATCAATTAATTCTGAATGTGTTTTTCTCATATGTTTGTATTTCACAACCAGCGCTCGTAAAGCGATATAATTGCTGGTTGTTTTTCTTTTACTCCTTAATCCTATGCCTTAAAAACTAAAAACAATGATACTTTATAAGTTATATTTGCATTACCAAAGTGGTAATTCCTTATTGTAAGAAGAATTAGTAAAAAAAATGCGAAGAATTCTTAATATTTTTTATGACAAATAGTTTCATATTCTTGCAACCAGTGCTCTATACTCCACCGTGGACGAAGTTAACGACTCTGAATGTATCATAGTAAACGTCTGTGAGACTACCAAGTAGGTTTACTTATGAGTATGGGGGGGGGGAGAGGGGAACACAGACTGCGTCTAAAACAGATCTCGAAAATCTTAAAAGTTGTTAGGAAACTGGAAAATTAATTAGTGATTGTATTACACTCAACAGAAATGCGAAATATAGTGAGTTTTGATTGAACCAACGTTCTATGCAGTGATTTTACGCCAAACTAACGAAGATTAGCTGCTGTGGTCTCATATAAATGTATAAATTTAGATAGTTTAGGCGTATGCAATAGAGTAGAGTTAACTGCCTGTTGGTTACTGATAATTAAAAAGTAAATCAGACGACTTTTTCATTTAATTTCATCAGCATTCTAGTTGTCACTTTCCTTGGTTGGAGAAAAGCACACAATCTCAACTGTTTTCATTTTTTATGATTCACTTCGACTTTATTTGGACAATGCAGTGAGAAATTCGGTACTATGGATTCATCCATACACACACAAAAAAATGATATGCGTATTCGTGCTTTATATCTTATTGTACATATACAAGGATTTCTCGAAGCTGTAACGAGAAATCATGTCTTTTGAGGTCAACCAAATTAAGATTGAGGTGGGTTCCCACCGATGATAGTCGTACTACAATACAAACTAATAGAATTAAGAATAACTGAGTCATTTTATTCAGAATCAACGGCTGATTGGTAACATGTTCACTATGACACCCGACAGTCCTACACTCCATCCCTCATAGGTTATATGTGCATATTGCTGAGGAGTACTAAACTAGAACGAGACAGTTGCTTAACCCTCTTAGTTTTTTATTAGTTCTCCAGTTGATATTACTCCTTGATGAAAATAACTTTTTTTATGTTCTTGCGTTAACCTAATCACCAGTTTGTTATAATCTTGTCTGACTACAATTTCATATACATTAGGAAATTTCCAATTAAACTACAAAATCCTCATGTAATCAATTCAGATCAGTTGCATTTGTCAGTTATACCACGTGGACCAGATGGTGAAAAATTGAATGCCACCTATTCTGTACGAGAGACATCAGCTTATCGAAATTCATTGGGTCTATTGATGAGTATGTCAATGATTACTAATCACAATATATTATTTATGCATTATTTTCTGGTACTGTTATTATTCTTTGTATTATTCACTCCTGTCTTCATATACTATTAACTAACAGCTTACAGGTGTGTATACCAGATTCTTAGGTTAAACTGATTGTTTGAAGAGTTCTTTTTTTTACCGAACTACTCAACCCTCGATAGACAAAACTGTGACCCACCATCAAGAGGTCTATTCGGACAGACTGTTTAGATCCAATAGCTTAGAAATTAAAATAATTAATTAATTACATCGTCAATTAAAATGGCAGACAATAAGATAGAAAAACTACAGAAAAACAGTTTTAACATAAGTTTATGTACTACAAGCTTGGGATCCTAATTTACCGATTGTTTGACCGTCAATTGTGGGAAAGGTTTTGTATATAACGACTGATTACATGGCTTTAAACGACATTACATAGTTGAAAGTTGTGTATAACAATACTCTACTTATATATTTTTAATTAACTCTGGATTATTATGGCATTCTCTAATGGTTTTCCCATCAATAATTCTAAGGAACTATCCAACCAATCCAGTATCAGTCGATACAACTGAAGTACTGAACGGTATCCTGCTGATGAAAAATGGACTGGATGGTTTAGAGTTAGTTTCTCAAAACGATAGAGTACGCTGATCATCTGTGAATTTCCCCAGCGATTTCTGCTTTTTAGGATAAAAGAAGCATTCAAAAAGTAATGACTTTATTCTTAAAGATATTTTAGGAATACTGTACAGAATTTTCAGCATGTCCTATAGCGTCAGTTGAACAGAAACAGCTTTTACGTATACATAATAAAATGAAGTGAATAGAAATTGCATATCCTCTATCTGCAACATTTTAAAAATGCGGAGTTACTTTAGGTAAAAAGCCATTAGTGGTTTAAGATGACTATCAAGCAGTGGGTCACGGATTCGAACCCTGCTTCCACCTACCGAGGTTTAGGAAGCCAGGTAATATCACTAGCCCTCACACAGTCTTTTGTGGCTCATTGCCTACTGCATGAATATGCACATGGTAGCTGAGCGTGTTTCTTTCTGAAAAAAGTCACATTACCAATTACGTCCGTAATAAATAAATAAATAACAGCAAGCCATGTGATCTGTAATTAGTTTGCTTTAGAAAACAAAAAATGATTCGTTAGTTCATTTCTAACAGTTTCTTCGTTGCACAGGATGTGAGGTAAGGTATGTTAGTGGTTTTATATTTAGTTGTACGTGTATAAAATCTTGTCTACTTGCTCCCAGTCTTGCCTAAGCGTCGACACGTAGAGAGCTTTAAGTGAAAAGGATGCTAGTCATCTGATAAAATTACTCCTGCTAGATGCTTTTTTGAGTTTATTTGTTTGTTCATAATAGCTTCAATTAGAAGGTTTATAGGTACACCACTAGTTCTGCTGATCAACCTACGCAATACAGCATAGTGTCTTTTCAGAAACGTATGAAAGAATAAATTGAAACAATAGAAGACAATCGTCAAGATGCAGGGGTCTATAAAACACAAGAGATAAGCCCAAGTCATACCAGATACTTTCAGCTTCCTTATATAGTAAAGTAAGACGGAAGATTCTTCTGAAAATCATATAATATGCCTTTCGTTATCTCGTATTGCTTTAAAACGTTATACATTTCGAACGATCTGATCACATATGAACTTGTTGAATAATTTATATAAAACTTAAAACTGTTGATCAAACCAATGGAATTATAATTCAAAAAGACAACAAAAGCAGAACAAAAACAAGAGAGGAAAAAATTATAATAAAGGGTCAAATCACCACCACCAACAATACGAAGGTTGAGCTTACCAGGGTAGATTTAGTGTAAGTACAAATTACCATTTTGGACTCTCTGAGATAACCGTGGTTCGGCAGACTTGTATTGATGCTGGGTGATGATTGAAGGTGAAATGAAAATTTAGACCTCGGCGGGATTCCAAAAAACGACCATCGGGTTTCCGACCTGGTGCTTTACTAACTGAGGTACAGCATCAGACCGGAAACCTGGTGGTCGTTGGTTCGAATCCCGTCGAGGTCTAAATTTTCATTTCACCTTCAATCACCACCCAGTATATTCACGTCATTTAGTCGGTCAACAAGTTCAAATGTATCTTTCAAGGAAAAGTTATAAATCTGGCTTCTGATAAGAATAAAGAGTTTTGCCAGTCACTTTGCTAGTTTATGTGAGGGTGATCGGCACATTGACAATACTGGACGGAAATTACGTTTTAGCATCACTAGACAAACAATAAAGGGAAAAAGTAGCAGAATTGAATTTCGACCGGAAGTAAATCCGTTCAATATGGTGCACTGCATAGCAAAGTAGAACTAACAAACAGTAAAACTAAAATTAAGATGAGCATGAAATTTAGTGAAACAGATGAGTAAATTGACATTCCAAGGTCAATATAGCTGATTTCCGTTGGTGTCATACAGTGTCTCTATCTACTGATTCCCAATGTGTCATTAATGTCACGAACTTGGCTTACACTTTTTTTGAGTCTTATGCTGGTAATCAATAACTTTGTGAATTAGCACTACGTCATGATCTGACTAACCTTTACCTTTCCGTTTTCTTAGTTCTTCTGTTGTACTCCTAGGCAGATAGTTACTCATTAGCTCATCTACTGGCCCCCACGTTCGGTTCGGGACGATAACTTTATCCAGTGGCTTGTATACCTGTGTATTTACGGTAATTTTAAAAAAAAAACTGATTTACCAGTACTGTTGCAGTCGGCAGTCCTACATTATAGTCTTTAAGTAGGTTAAAGTGAATTACTGGTCGGTATACTCTTCGCTTGATGGATATGTAGATATCTTTTCGGTCTCACATTATGCATACTGAATACCTTTCACTAATGTCTAGTGACTACGCATATTATTTAAAAGTAAGGGAGTGTATGATCTCGGAAATTATTAGGAGAAATGCAAGGACTGAATCATTGCCAGCTAAATTTTCATCATATTGTACACTATTCGACATGTCTCAGAAACAGACTTTATCAACGTCAATAAATATTCGTCTAAGGGAAGTCAGTAAATTCAGAGGTGTACCATAGTATGATCATTCAAAGTATAGAGTTGATAATATAAACAGATCTACAAATTGACGTAGAACGTCTCACACAAGTGCATCGCTTCACAGTAGTATTCAAAGAACAGGTGGATATAAAAAGTGAAATCAAAGTAGATCGATTTGTGTGAGAGAATAAGCAGTTTAAAGGTAACGGTTATCGTGCATATCCAAGCTTTAGATGTCAAGGAGCGAATACATTTGCACCATTGCGACTGATTTTCAGCCATATCACCAACAGTCCTCAACCACTGATTCCTATCGTCTCGACGACCCCAACCAGGGGGTCTACGTCTTCCCACATGGCTCATACCAACAGTAAGAGACTTCATAGACTATTGTCACGTCTTGGTCTGACCACCTTGAGCCTTCTTCAAACCTAATCCAACTTATTCTTGCATTGCAAGTCAAGATAAGAGGCATTTCTGCATACGCGACATGTCCAAGCTGCCTCAGTCGTTGAATGTTCACAACCTCATCGACTGACTTTCCTTCCCTGCCTAGTACCCACCACCTAATCTTGACATTGCTAATATATTGATGCCACCAAATGCTAGCAATGCTACGAAGACATCTGTGACCAAAGACATGTAACCCCTTTCAAATCTTCTACTTTTAACGACTATGTAACGACCAACCACAAAACTGAATTGACTACAGCCCAGTAGTTGGTAATATATCATATAAGATATGGCATTGATCCGCTATGCAACAATGTGAAATCATCGTATTTTGATTTTGACTGACTGACTGATTGGTCGTATTGATATGCTCTTTTACCGTCCGTTCATTAGCTTTTTGTGTGCAATTGATTTATTTTACTGTTTAATTTCACTTCGTTTGCTTTCATTTACTTCTCTTCTCTCTTCACGTTATGATGAACAAACATGAAAAAATAATCAAAAATAACCGATATAGTTCAGTTAGCTCAAGCTGTTCCTGCTGGTCTACTGATATTTTTCCCATCTTATGTGTTTATGTCACAGTGTATAGAATATTGGAAGGTAATTCATTTTGTCGCATTGTTTTTGTGTACTTTGGCTTGAGAACATGATTGATTGTTACTTTTTTGTTTCTTCTTTCTACGTATGTATTTGGTGTTGATCATCAGTTGTGGCTAAAAGTACCCTTGATTTGGGCTACTATACTCTATACTTCATCCAGGCTTATTATTTATATAAGAGTTCAGATTACTACCTCATAATCACCTACAGTTTGAAGTTGATCATTTATACAATCTGGGGGTTTGTGGAGATTTATTGACTTTAAGTTGGTATTCATCATGGACTGACATCAGTTGAGGGAACATTGGAAACCTAGGAGCACTGGACAGCCGTTTTGTCCGAGTACAAGATGACCCAACAGTGTGTACCCATGACCTTCAAGTTCAGTGGCCACCACGTTACCATTGGGCCACTTTGTCGCAACTCACTGGTCCATATGTCCAAATTCTGTCTGTTCACGACATAGCACCACCATCAACCAATGTCATCGTCGAGTATTTGTCCTCATGTCCAACAGGTTTGATCCCCACATACCCCCCCCCCTCCAGTCACGATTTCTCATTCGAACTTCAGAAATCATCTCTCGAAGCTAGTCACCAACTGATGTCACTCCATGATGAATACCAACCTGAAATCAATAAATAAATCCCCACAAACTTCTAAATTGAATTAGTCTGGTACTCATTGGTGACTAGCTTCGAGTGATGATTCCTGAAGTTCCAGTGAGAAGTCGTGACCGATGGGTCAAACTTGTTGGACATGAGGACAAATACTCGACGATGACATTGAGTGATGGTCGCTTAAGGTTGTACGCGAATTTGTTTACGTTCACTAAATCGCACCATATTGCTGATTATCATCATTGAGATAAGCATACAAATCAACGTAAAACCTGGCAAATATGTCCGTCAATTGACACACTTAACAGACAGCATCCGAAAAAATGGTGAACACAAAGAGAATGATGTTAAAGTAGGACACTTATATAAACAGACTCGTACACAAGTGCGTCGGTTCAAGTTGTCACACATCACAGTTGTATTCAAAGAACAACTGGATAGAAAAAGTGCGATCTCAAAGTAGACAAATTTGTGTGAGAGAATAAACCATTTGAAGATAATGGTTAACGTAAATATTCAAGCTCTAGAAGACATCAAGGAGTGTTTTAATTAGTGCCTTTGTGTCCGACTTTTCTTTCATATCACCAAGAGTCTCCAACCATTGATTCCTATTATCTCGAAGACCTCATTCAAACAACCTATATTTCCCTACATGTCTCAGGCCAATAGTCAAAGACTAAGTGAACTGATACAATACCTTGGTTTGGCAATCCTGAGCCTTCTTCCAACCGAATCCTACTTTGGCTAACATTACGCTTCGAGGATAGTCACCGAAGGTTCACAACTTCATCGACTGACTTGTCTTTCTTAACTAGTAATCTTTCCCTAGCCTTGTTGTTACTCTTACAGTGGTTACATGACACACAAACAGTCCTACGAAGGCACCCTTGATCAAAAGCCTGTGATGTTTTCATATCTCCTACTTCCAAGGGCCATGCCTCACGGCCATTATTTTATTGTTGATCACATTGAAGTGCATTGTGTTTTTTAAAAATTATTTTCGACTCAATAGGTTTAACGAATTTCAATCTCAAAACGAAGCCTTTGATATTTGTATCAGTATTACTATTTTTTTCTCCTTTTCACTTTTATATTCTTATTATTGCATTATAAATAGGCCATTCTGATAGTTTTCAATCCCCTATGCCTTAGAAATCATTTTGTCAGCTTAGCTTGACACTCATTCCTTTTTTTTTTACTTGTGTTGACGTGGATTTTCAAGCTGCCAGTAATTGACTGATTCAGGTGATAAAAGTATGTGAAAGCAAGAATGAAATACAGGTGTAAATGTCCACGAAGTAAGTTGTTTTACGAATAAGAAAAAAATGCTAAGACTGATATTGATCAGTTTATTAGATTGGATAAAAGTGAAATCTGACACTTACTGATTGCGTGCTAACCTCCATATTATTCTTGACTGACGATTTTTTATGTGATTTTCGGACTATAACTATTAACATGTAACTTATTCATTTTATGAATATTTCTGGATTCTGTCTTATTAAGTCATTGGTTAGTAATAGTCAGTCAGTCATATTAATGTTTTTAGCTAAGTAGTCGTTTCAACCAATCACCAGTCTAGTATGCGGTGGTTAACCGTGATCATTGCAGTAAATTCTACACTTATTCAGTTCGTGGTTAAAACATTATATACGTTGAATAAACTTCCTGGTTATGTCTTGTTTGATTCTTTGATAAACTCATCAACTAAGTATGCGTCAATGTATCCAACTATGTGCCACTAAGCCACTATCACATATGCGCCACTATAAACAGTCGAAAGTAAGGTAAACGGGAAAGGTCAACTTTCAAATCCTTTTCAACATACTTCTGTTTAGCCCACCATATGGTATCATAAATCTTCACGTATTATGTGGGGGTTATAGCCTAGTAAAAAAAACAGCATGTACTGATTGAAATCACATATTCTTTTTTCAACTTACAAGCCAGTAATGACAATAAACTAGCTTTTTGATTCAGTAATATGTGACGTTAAAAGCAGTAGAAGATACTTTGACTACCATGTTCGTTCTGATGACTATAACTGATCTACACCTTTAAGAGGAAATATATTTGTACAGGACAAGCAACACTCTCATGAATATTTTATTTCACTTAAAAGATAGAATTCCTTATACCTACATGCAGAATTGTGTCAACCAACTAGTCTTTGTCGGTTGAGATGCCTATTATATTAGGGAATCATTCTTCAAGATCCTCATTCGTGCTAAAGTACGTACAAGTTACACAAAGCAACCACCATATAATCCTATAGAACTAGAGAATTCACAAATCAAATCGACAATTGCTGTTCATATCACCTATTATGGTCACAAAATTGATATTGGAAATATCAAAACTCATCAAAAATGATTTTCAAATTACTAGGAAAGACGGATAGCTGAGGCATTTCATATTAGGTTGGATCCTAACTCACTCAACAGAGAAAGGAAGGCCTAACTATCCAACCAACTTGAACAGTATATTTAAAATAACACGTTACACACACTTGTCATAACTTGTATTTGCAGGAAAAAAACTGTTATTATTCTTTTATTTATGTGATAATGCTACATGCCAAGTGATTCACAATGGAAAACTCAGTGATCCCTTGGAAGTGAAGACAGGAGTAAGATAAGATTGCCTGCTATCACCGATGATCTTCCTGATTGTGGTCGACTGGATCATGCAACAAGATGAGCATACGCTGCTTGCCTGATGAAATGACCCTAGAAGATTTGGACTTCGCCGATGATTTGTCTCTAATGTGCAAAAAACTCGAAGATCTACAGGCGAAAACTAACAGGTTGGCAGAAGAGGCGAGTCAGCGAAGACTGGACTTCAGATGAACGTCGAGATGACAAAGGTGGTGCATATGCCCAACCAACAACAAGCACCAATCACAATCATTAGCAGAAATCTAAAGGAAGTTGTCTCTTTCACCTACCCACCTACCTAAGCAGCGTCGTTTCAACTACAGGCGGCACAGATGAGGATGTCAAAGCCAGGATTGGAAAAGCAAGACAGGCCTTCATTAACCTGAAATTAGTGTGGAGATCTACTCCACTGCACTGCACTCCACTCAGCATAAAGCGTGAACAAGATCCGGATTTTCAACACTAATTCAGTCAAGTCAGTGCTTTTATGTGATGGTTGAGAGACTTGGTGCGGTTACGAAAGGCATTTCCAACATACTACAGACATACATCAACAGCTACCGCCTACGCTCACTCGATACTGAAGATCAGATGGCCAGAATGATAAGAATAAGCAACAAGGAACTCTGGTCTGGAAACGAACCAGCCAAGAATCCATCGCCCAACAAATATGCAGAAGAAAGTGGTGGTGGATTGGATTAGAGATACACTGATAAGACCACTTGGGAACATCACGCGACAGGCCAGGCCCTCGAGTAGAACCCGAAGAAGATACGACTAGTTGGGCGTCCGAGGCTGACATGCAGGAGATCGTCTGAAGAAGAAATAAAAGCTTCTGCGCAGTAGTGGAGCCAGTTTCAAAAGACTGAAGAGAAGAGAGTGCAATGGAGGCGTGTTACCGAAGTCCTATGTCCCACTAGGAACCCAAGGGACAAATAACAATAATAATTAAAGCACAACCAACCAACCTAATTTCGCATCCATGGTATTTTCCTCACATCTTGACTCGCATTCACATCCTTACCTTGTCACCATTTACTATTTAAACATGTTATAACTCGTTGTACAGGTTTTATTTTATTAAGAAGCGACTTCCACGAGGTCGCAAAACGTCAGAAATTAATTTTCCTACTTCATCGGGATTTTACAAATATATCTCTTTAATAATCCGTTTACCTAATGCTTAGCTCGATCAGATCAATTTTTGATCCGAGCCGAGTTACCACAAAAACTGCAAATACATCCGGATACTGAAAGCACATCACTCTACTCTACATCAAGGAGGTTTCAGAAACGGTCAATAGATCGTTTTCTGCCGTTCGAAATTGGAGCGACACAAACCAGCAAAATTACTACAGAAGATATCACGCCACCTGAAGGGTCGGCTGCCAAAGAAAGATAAGACAAATATGACCTGCAAAATCAACTGTAGAGATTGTTCACAACACTACGTTGACCAGTCTAACTGTTGAATTACACAAATAATCCATAAAAACCGATTTGCAGTAAAGCGATATGACGCAACGTCCTTGGTTTTAATGCACACAACTAATCACGATCACAAATTTAACCAGAAAAAGGTGGAAATCCTCCAAACAGCAGGTTCAGAAGCTACAAGAGAATTTCTACAAACATGGCATTCTAACGAAAAGTGACTCAACGGACATGTGGACGTAGACTCAATCAACAATCTACTAAGGAAGAAAAACAGCTATCCATTAACCAGCAGCAAATAAACAAATCAATAATGAAGCACAATGTGACGGTAACAAACAGTACACTCCCACTCCAACAAAGATTCTCTACCAGCATTACCAAGTGAAATTTAACGTGAGAGAGATCGAGCTGTGATAAAAATCTCTTCCCCAACTTATAATCAGACAACACACATGATTAGCAAAAACACAACCTAAACATTCGTGTGACATTCGAATATGCTTCACTTCTTCATGGGGTTAGTGCAGAAGATGTCACCAAGCTTGGTGATGAAACGTCTACGACAAATACTGAAGCACAGGGAACACCTAGTCAGCATCATTTTCTTAATGTCATAACTAAGAAATATGATTTTCTTTGGCTTGTCGCTGGTGAAACCTCAACTTGGGTGCAATATGCCCGTTTTCCACTTACCAATTTGCATCATCTATGGCACCGACTGGTAAAGTATTCCACTACTTATTAAAGAACGAGTATACTGTGCTGCAGTGTACTAGGCAAGTTGATTGATAAGGTTGTGAACCTTGGTTGACTCAAGTAGCTTTGACACGTACTTTGGATGCTAAGCTAACCTACTTCGAAGTGCCATCCTAGTGGAAGTCGGATTAGGTTGAGAGAGGGTTCATAGTAGCCAAACCAAGACGTCGCATCAGTCGATGGAGTCTCTTACTGTTGGTCTGAGCCGTTTGGGGACACATAAACCACCTGGTTGGGGTCATCCAGACGAAAGGAATCAATGGTTGACGACCGTTGGTAAAACGGCTTGAAATCGGCCACAATGGTGCAGATTTATTCACTCTTTGACATCTAAAGTTCAAAATATTCTCACTAACCTTAATCCTTAGATTGTTTATTCTCTCATACTCCTTTATCTTCTTTTCTATCTAATTGTTTTTTGCATACTACTTTGATGTGTGGCAACTTAAATCAACGCAATTGTGTGCGGGATTCTGCTTTTATTCTGTTTGTTTGTCTGTCTTTATGTCATCTGCTTAAGGTAAACTTGCAAACTGAATGTGATATTATAAACTAGTGGGTCACGGATTCGATCCTGACTCATATACCGAGGTCTAGGCAGTTTGGTGGTACCGTAAAACCTCATACAGCGGATGTGACTTATTGCCTAGTCCACGAATATTCATCCTCGGTTTCTGAGTCATATTTTGATATTATGACTCAGCAAAGATTGCACAAGACTCATACATCACTGTGTAACTGGAAGACATTCACAATATTGTCCACTTCATCTAGAGTATGTTACGTATGCGTACGTGATGTGTATTCTGTAGTATGGCTTACATAGCAAATGTACAATTTAAACAAGTTCAAGTAATTCTTTATTATTTTGACTTTTATAAACTCTTTATGCTCTTTTCGTCTTTCTTATTTTTTATAGAATGGTGATATTTTTGAAAAACTGTTAAAAATCAAACATATTTTCATTGAACCTCGTGAGAAGATTCAATTTAATAAGGTAACCATATTTTCTTTTCAATTTATTCATGACCGGTCGGTTGTATCAAAGTATAATTAAACATACAGAGTTCATGCACACATACAGACATGCACATTCTATTGGTTAATATTTTCAACCAAATTCCTTTCCTTAAACCACTAATTCACTATTGAAAGTAGAGTTGTTGTGCACGCATCTCACGAATTGATAAGTAAATTCTTTTACTGGATTTATTTATAACGGGTAAGATAGTCTTTGAAAAGCGTATTAATTTAAGGTTGGATAACGTTTTTTGAAACGAGTTAGTCACTTATTGGTGACCTACTCGTAAGTGCTGATCAGACTCAATCGATCAGGTTTGCAATGTGTAGTAGTAGTCAGTGGTGAATTACTGTTGTTTTCCATATTTAATATCAGTTGTAAGAATTTAGTTGACAGGAGATCATAGCTTTTTGATCGAGGTAGGTTGCGTATATCTAGTTTGTGGATAATCGATTGGTTTGAAGAGAGTTTTCTCACCACAGATTTACATTCATCAGTAAATCAGTGAGTGCTTGAGACCACTAGATAACTATTTCATGAGTGTGTACTTCTGAGGAGTCCCAAACTGGGACGAAACAGCGTTTGAGTGCTCAACAGTTCTCCTAATGGTGGTCAAGTGGTCAAATTTTTTCATGCCACCGACGTTTGGGTGGCATGTTTAACAAGTATAGTCGGGGGAACAAAGGAATGATGAATCATTTCAAACGGCTAGTTTGTCTCTTATTTCAATATGATCATAATATATACTATGTAAGTGCAAATAAAATCAAGTAACATTTGATGACCATACCAAAAATTTGACCGTGACTGCTGGGAAATCCGACAAGGGGATGAAACAGTAATTTCATACTAAAGGATTTTCAACAATCTTGTTTTAGCACATTCTAGCCTACATTAAAAAGTATTCGTCTTCAAAACCACTAAATTGTTAAAATACTTTTTTATTTATCTTCTACCCACAATATTCTAGGTATTTAGTGATTATCGGAGCATTGCCTGTAGTCAAAATTCTATTGGAGCAATTCTATTCGCTGTAATGCGTGGTCGTGTCAGTGAAGGCTTAGATTTAGCTGATGATGCTGGACGTGGTGTTGCTATCCTCGGTTTGCCTTATGCACCATTTCATGATCCTAGGGTACGCTTAAAAATGGCATACTTAGATGAACAGTGTGTCAAATTAAAGTCTAGTTCAAAACAGGATCAACAACAGAAAAATTTGTTAGATAAATATCCAACTGGTCGCCAGTGGTATAATCTACAAGCTTGGCGGGCAATTAACCAAGCTGTTGGAAGGTGAGAATGTGTCCACTTGATTGGTTTATTAAATATTGGAAATTCCCTAGCTTGTTCATACATATCGCTCACTTTTACAAATTCTATCTCAGTGCTTAAGACAGTTTCTTGTCAGTATGCATTATATTTTATTATATTCCCATCAGCTGTTTACAAGTTAGTTTTAGTAAATTCACTAAATGAATAAAATGACGTAACATAATTCAGAATTTAACATTCATAATCCATTAGAAGGCAGCATGTAGTGTCAGGTTAGGAATGAAACAGTCAACTGTTAAGAAGTTATAAATGAAATATCATGGACATAAAAATGACAAAGATAGGAGGAAAATGATACTGAGCAAAATTATTGCGTCGAAATGACTATTTAGACATAAAAGAAAGGAGGCGATATAACAAAACTAGGCTTTTTACACCATGTTAGCTGCAGATTAATTATTGAGTTAGCTCGGATACAAAATATGTTAACAGAAGTACCGTCTGACAACATTTCTGATGTTAACATCATGTCCCATAAAAAACAAGTGACTAACAATTGATGTCTTTCAATCCTTCGAGATGTAATTGTTTCTCTCGAGAATCATGCTCAGGCGAACATGTCGTAGGTCATCTTTCTATCTTCTCATTGTACAGGCTTTAACAAGTACGTGTGGTAGATGGTGAAATGTATAGGATTCGAACCTTGGGGCTTCGGATTACCAACCCGGTACATGTTAATTAGTGAATGTAGTTTTAGGTGATTTAAGATTAGTGGTATTTATCTACTTTTGAAATGAATGCAAATTAATTCCTATCAGGCTAGTGAATTACATTGATTGATTCAAATGGTCTCTTACTACTAATATCATATGATCGTACGGTCTGATTCTTACTAATTCACATGTTTCACAGTCATGAATAATAACATTTTAAGACAAAACAGTTTAATGGTTGGCTTTATGAAACTCAGAAATATTCAGTGGGCTGTTTTTTAGAACTAAATAATGAACTAATTATCCGCACTTAGTATTTTTTTAGAACTAGTACTTCAGAACGACACAGGAAGAACACCGACCGCGATCTTAATACGCCTCTTTCAGGCAGTCTCAAAGCAGCATTTCCACCAGATAGTTCAGTCAAGGTCACACACAAAATACCTATGTATGCTATGACAATCACAGTGGCATAGACTTAGTTTGCACTTTAGAAATAACCAATTGAATTGTACTGACCTTGATAATTTTCAGACGAATCCAGGACTCGCGTTTTGTTCTACTTGGGACTCGTCAGCTGGTTTTGTTACCACAGGCTTGAATCCAGTACCTGTCGTTTGAAACGCCAGAGGGCTATCCACCATCTCACTGGGGCCACATCCCCCGCCAGTCACTAAGATTAATATGACATCATGAATATTCAGCAGTATCGAGGGTTACACATCGGAGTCCATCTGCCAACAGAGGTCGAGCGATTCGTCTCTGTATAGCAACAGGAAATTACAGGTATCGTAATAATAATTGAATTGTAGTATTAGTCACAGTAGCAGTAACCAATAATGACCAAAGATAATATAGTCACATATGCAAGCAATATTCATAACTTGATCATGATATGAAAATCGAATCAAATCGAATGTACTCAGCAAACTTGTGCACAATCGTATAATAAGCAATAAGCCACATCTATTGTGTGAGGGGTAGTGATACTAAATGGCTGCCCGAACCTCTCTAGGTGAAGCGGTGTACGAACACGTAGCCTGTTGGTTCAATGTTATCTCTCTAAACTAATAAGCTACAGTTCCACTGATCAGGAAGCACATGTACATGCGTCACATATGTGTCTGGTTAGTCACAAATCATCACATGAAGCATTGATGAAATTTCATGTGAAGACAATTATATTCCTGAGATAATTTGTGTGAAGGGTTCTGCTGTTTTAACTGATTTTTGTAGTTTTCTGGGTTTTTATACTATCTACATTATACAAAAGTGCATACTCTCCCTTCTACAAAATTGAAAGTTGTATTCCTTGCATTTTGGTGGTTGAGTTGAAACCGATACCTTATAAGTAGCTAAGTGATTGTTGTCTAATCGACAAAAAACCTCATTGGTAACCAAATTAGTCTATTGTTTAGGTCCGACTATGCTAAATATTGCTGATGTGTAATTTTGCTTATCGGCCTAGCACATAGGAATTTGTCTGTCAAACAAATGCTTTCTGCAGGCACTAGACAGCTGTTTCATCCTTGTACGGGACTCCTCAGCAACGCGCGCTCATGACCCAGCCAGGGATCGAGCCCGCGACCTTCAGGTTCTGTAGCCAGCAAGTTACCATTGAGCCAGTATGTCACAACCCGACGGTCTACAATTGCTCCTTCTGTCAGTTCCCGACATAGCGCGACCATCACCCAATGTCATCGTTGAGCATTTGTCCTCATGTCCAACGGGTTTGACCCACCGGTCACGACTTCTCACTGGAACTTCAGGAATCATCACTCGAAGCTAGTCACCAATGAGTACCAGACTAATTCAATTTAGAGGTTTGTGGGGATTTATTTATTGATTTCAGGTTGGTATTCATCATGGAGTGACATCAGTTGGTGACTAGCTTCGAGAGATGATTTCTGAAGTTCGAATGAGAAATCGTGACTGGAGGGGGGGGGGGGTATGTGGGGATCAAACCTGTTGGACATGAGGACAAATACTCGACGATGACATTGGTTGATGGTGGTGCTATGTCGTGAACAGACAGAATTTGGACATATGGACCAGTGAGTTGCGACCAAGTGGCCCAATGGTAACGTGGTGGCCACTGAACTTGAAGGTCATGGGTACACACTGTTGGGTCGTCTTATACTCGGACAAAACGGCTGTCCAGTGCTCCTAGGTTTCCAATGTTCCCTCAACTGATGTCAGTCCATGATGAATACCAACTTAAAGTCAATAAATCTCCACAAACCCCCAGATAGAAATACTTCTTGTATTCACTCCTCTTTTTTTCTTCACTTCATAGAGTTATTCGTCATTACAAAGATTATGGAATAATCTTTCTTTGTGATGAACGTTTCGCTTCCAATAGTGCACAATCGAATTTATCTAGTTGGATGCAAACCAAGCGTAATGTTTACGATAGTGTAGAATTGGCTGTGAAGGATACTTATGAATTTTTTCGCAATATGCGGATTAAAGTAAGAAAATTGGTTCTATTATTATTATTATTTTGGGTAAGTGATTCGGTTAGTTTTCTAGTTGTAGAACTCACATGTAAACCATCAAATCTCATCCATCCGGAGAATGGGAAGATTAACGCTAATGGAGAAAACAAAACTTAAAGCGTATTACATGAAGTGTTGGCCCATCTTCATTACTCCTTTTTCATGACCAATATGATTAGTAGATTCGTTCATAATTTTGAAATCTTCATAAGTGTGTATATTTCTGTTACTGATTTTCTGATTCTGCTTAAAATTAGATTCAGAGTAATAACTATTTATGAAGTTCTAGACTCTTATTGCTTATTTACAATTTATTCTATCTTTTAAGATCATCAAAAATGATTAGAAGACTGATTATTGTGTTTAACACATAAACTTCACTCTAAAACCCCAAGTCTCCAGCCATAGTGAAAGTGGATGTATAAGTCCTCTTATATACCACAGTAGTTTGTGTGTCATTATGTTTGTGTGCTGTCATGTTAACTTACTCAGCTATTACCCATCACATCAATTATAAGCAAGAAGCTTGATTTTAGTTTAAATAATGTAGAATCATATTTCACCCTTTGTTGCATTTTTTTTTTTGCTCTGATCAAGATTCACAACATATCTTAAAAAAGGCATTCGAACACCATCCTACCAATGGAACTAATATTTTAGTCATCATTTGGCTATTCACTAGTCGTCTATCCGAAACTAATGCTGTAAAGCATTTGTCTGGAAGCCAATATTAGCATGGCGTAAAAGTCAGTTTGCTTTGAAAACTGGACTGCCTTTTTCAACCACAGACTAACATTAGGGTCTTGATAAAATCCGATCATTTTAACTTCGAACAGCGAATTGGATTAATGTCATACACCTGCTCATATAGAATTCTAGTTGCTTTGTGACTTTGATTGTTTATTATCATATTACCGTATTGTTTCACTTGAAGTTCAGCTTAGCAACCTTTGTAATGCAGGTGATGCATAAGGAATTCTTTGATTTAGTCTATTGCCTTAAAGGAGTGTCTTTGATGATCACCCCTACTACCGATAGATATTCAAAAATGATTTCTAAATCATAATCTCACACCGAATTTAAATTGACTGAGCAGCGTGTTTGCTAACGTGTAGGTGTATATATACACTCGAAATGTGCACGAATAACTGTCCCTCTTCCAGTATCTGGTACCTCGCTAAAAACAGTAAAAATATCACAAAAGAGTTTTACCTCTGTCTGCGAGAGCGATTTTTGCGGGGCGAAAATGCTTCACCCTAAATATACAGCCTATTCTGATTGATTTACTGACTCAGCAGTCTACACACTGAGGTTATCATAACCCCACATACCATAAGCAAAGATAGAAATAGCATGACTCTAAAGGCACTATAACAAGAACTAAAAATGATTAATCAAACTTCTTCAATTTATGAAAGTTTGCCTTTCCAGCCAAAATTGAGAAATCGAATTGGCTATTTCAGTCATTGCTAAAGTCACTCGGAAATTGACAGGCAAATGCTATCATAGAAGATAAATTGACATTTCTGTACATCACGTGATTAGTGCAAATGATTGGTAAAAACGCGTAACCTCCGGGTGACTTTAAAGGCCACCTTAACAATGATTAAAATAGCCAATAAGTTTTGTATATTTCTGTTGGGATGACCTTTTTATAAAATTCATAAACGTAATTGGTAATCTCATCAGCTGTTAGGGTGGTATTTAGAGTGACTCTAACTTTCACTCTGTTTCTTACTGTATGCACGCCTCGCCATCTGAATATCTCTTCACTTACTGCACTTCACTCAAGTCTATGATTCAACAACTGAAGCGAACGCATCATGAGTTCTTTGCAACACTTTAACCATCAGTCTTCCTTCGCCTCCCACCGTACAACAAAAGATAAAGACCAACGGCTTCCCAACCTTGTATTCTGTGCACTCTAAATCATTTGTATCTACAAGTGAATCTCACACGTCCACAACACATCATACATAATTCACACACAAAGATTGTGATAATACTTAGTTGTCGATTATTTCTTAAGTATGAAATCGTAGGTAATTGAGTTAGGAGTCAATTGGAATCTCTTGAGGTGAGGTATACAACAATACCATAAAACGAGTTCTAAATTAAATGTCCTTTCAAATAAATAAAGTAATAGGTCACATAAACACTGCATGAGATTCCTATTTTCATTCGTTCCGTTCATTATAACAAAAAGTATCTACTTCTATTACGAATATCTTAAATTGTTGATTTGTTTCTAGAACTCTTATTTTTAAGTTCTAGAATAAAATATACAAACAAATAGAAAGAATTGCCGAAGGACCATCAATATATACCCTATCTTGTAACAGATTTATCTGTAGATGATTGAGGATGAGTGACTGGGAAAATTTTCTCCTACTCTAATAATATGCTTCAGATATGTCGATGACACATTTACAGTATTGAAATCTTAGCACATACATGGGTTCTTTACACAAAATCTCAGGATTGAATGCGATTCAGTTTGTTCATGAATTAGAAAGTGATGAAGGAGGTGTAGCTATATAGATGTTGGATTGTGGAATAAAATGAAAACAGGATGAGAGTTTAGATACTCTTACGTATAAGAAACCTTCACATTCGGATCACTACTTACAATTCAAATCATCTCACTCTGTATCAGTTAAAGTAAGCTTGGTAAAATGTCTAAGTAACAGGGCCAAAAAATTTAATCATTAGCCTTAAGATCTAAGACGTTAAATCAGATACATTAAGGACACCTCACTCATCATTTATAATCCTCCTAAAGTGCGAAACTGTGGCTCATTGGTCTAGGCATTTGAATTTCAATCGATGCGTCACAAGTTCGAACCTTACTCCTCCTACTGAGATTTGAACATCTAGGTAGTATAATTAACCGTCGTTCAATACGTATGGCTCACTGTCTATTGCGAAAGCATACAAGTGGTTGCTGGGTGTATCTCCATCTTGACCCATCTAAATTAACCAATGAATCCACTAAGAATCCTAAGAAAAATATGACTAATAGTGGCAACACTGAAGTTAGTGGTAATAACATTAATGACAACAATGTGGAGAGTTCAAAACCTCTACAGTGTTACCATACAAGGAAGGCACTTCAGAGGTATTACGAAGGATTCCCACTAAGGCTGCTATTGGAGTGGCCTTTAAACTCAAAATCACAAGTAAGCTTTATATATTTAAAGATCTCCTTGATCTAATTTGGCAAAATAATCTATTTCACCGAATCCCTTGCAAATACAGGGGTCCACCAGTATCTCCCAGTGCGAAAAACTAACTAACTAAATCAATATTAGCAGACTCTAATATGATAAGAGAGAAAAATGCTGGGCTATAGCTGGTCATACAATTACACGCAATTGGAAGGGGAGAGTAAAAGTATGAAAACTAACGTAGTTGAGATGTGGAAAGAGAATCTTTGTTTATTAAACAAACACTAAATACATAAAATAAGGATAATTCAGAACTTGTTTTACACATGAGGAAAGTTCTGCTAGCCATATCGCGAAGGCAAAAAGTTCATTATAACTATATAAACCATGTCTGAAAGTTGTGTAGTTACCTTCAGATAGTTATTAACAATAGGTTTTTTCCGAAGCGTTTTCCAGTAAATAGTTTCACTATGTGATACACTCAGTAAATCAACTGAAGTGGCACTGGAATATATTGAAAGTTACACTATTTAACGTTATGACAAGAAGGTTCTGAAGCTACAATTAATGTCTCCTACGTGAATGGTGTGTTTATATAATGTACTGAAGAGTCTCTTCTACAGTTATTGATTGATAAAAAGTAACATTACACTTTTTTACTACTATACTTATGCTATTGTTATTGTCTCAGTAAGTGTACGTATTACTTTGTTGTAAAATTTCTTGTTTACAGTATCCATCCATTGATCGACCTACTGAATCCACTTCTTCCAGTGGAACTAACATACTAACTGACAGGATTGGACTTCATTCACTGAAACGAACATCTACTTCGCATAGGTCTAGTATTTTATACAATCTTCCTTCAGCTTCTGAGGTAAATTTACTGTTTTTGCTCAGTTCAATCCAATGAGTAAATGCTTGTTTTGTGTATTGCATCAAGATATATTAACGATCAGCATTGCTCTCAATTATATCTCTTGATGGTTTACCCTTATATCCATAACTTTACTTATATATAAAATATTAAACCAGATATGGTGATTTTTGGGTCAGTGATAACACAGTAGTGAAATATATAATTGTAATGAAAAGCAGTCACCTGTGGAATCAACTTGGTTGGGTGAGTGGATCGAAACTTCTCGACAGAATTCAGGCCATATTGCGAATAGAAATAAGTTGGCTAAATAGGCCGTTGGATTACAAACCAGTGGTCGTGAAGTAGCATACTCGCAGCAAGACCTGATGATCCTAAGCTCAAAGCAGGTCGATGCTCAGATCAATAAAAGTTCCGCAGTATTAAAGAATAAAGTAAACTGATAATCAAAGCCTAAACGTGTGGTGGATGTTTGAACAGGGAAAATAATTAACAAGAGATCGAAACGATTTTAAGGTGTGACTGGCTGGCAAAATTAACGTAGAACCTCGCTAATAAGTGTATCCCCTCAAGTTGCCGCACTTAACACGAGTACACGAGAGGAATTTGTGTAAGAGAGTGAGCAATTTGAAGATAACGGTTAGCGCAAATATTCAAACCTTAGAAAACGACAAGGAGTGAATATATCTGCACCATTGTGACTGATTTTAAACCATGTCATCTAGAAACCTCAACCCAATTGTTCCTTTCGTCTCGAGGACCCCAACCAGGTAGTCTACATATCCCCAAAAATTCAGACCGAAGGTAAGAGATTTCATCTAACGGTTCCACATCTTGGTCTGGCTGGCCACCCTGAACCCTCTTCCAACCTAATAAAAGTCCCTCTGGTATGGCACGTCGAGCTAGAGGCTGTCACCCGGTACATATCATCCAAGCCACCTCAGAGGCTAATGGTTCATGACCTCGACCGGTCGACTTGCTTATCTTGCGTAGAATCTTTTGCCTGACTTACCTCAACATTGCTCACATGGTGATTCCACCAGACGCCAGCAATGTTACGAAGACATTGATGATTAAAACCCTGTAATCGTTCCATATCTTCTACTTTTAACGACCATGTCTCCCAGATGTACAGCGGGTCAGAACGAACTACAGCACAGTATACTCGTCCTTCAACAGGTGTTCGGATATCTTGCCGAAGCCACAGGTGACCCAAGTTGGCAAATGCTAATCGGGCCTTCTGTATTCCACCTGACATTTCGTTAGCAACCAACCCGTTCGGGTTGATGCAACCCACAAGTAAGTAAAGTGATCGACACATTCCACCGATTCACTTTCTACCAATAAACTGAAAGAACTTATAGCAAACCAGTCCTGCAGAGTCATCTTACATTTGACAAGTGGTAGCGAAACGCATACCAAACATACTCAGATTTCTGCTCAACGCGTTCAGTTCACAAGATCGTGCATTTTGTCAACATTCACTAATCAGGGCAATGCTCCAAATCAACCGGATGAAGTCCAGGGAGTAGGTCTAAGATTATTTGTCAAGTTTTCTCTGACCACGGCAAAAATAAAAGTTGCACACACTTTCTGTGAATACAAAACCAAAGTTTATTTGTTCTAATTCCTATGGCTTAAGGTATTCACAAACAACGAATTTGAACTGCATCTCTGAATTTTAATGGAATGCGATAAAAGTGTTTTTTGCTAACCCTTTTGATATGTCTATCAAGTGACTATTATCGATAAAATTGAATTCCGTATTGATTTCACGTGTTTCTTTTCGGGGTAATAATGTAAGCAGCCAGAAACACTTTTGTAGAGCTACTTAGTAGTGCACCCAAAATGACTTTGACTTCAGCAGTTGAATTGGCATACACAAATAGAAAAGGTTAAACTAAGTAGCCTCCTGAATTCCAGTACCAGTCACCAGAAGTAGCCTACCTTCTGATTGAACAAAGGTGACCAGAACAAAGTTGTGGTATAACGACTTTCACGGTATTTTCTTATTACATGACATTATAATTCGCCTGTAGCTCTGACTAACCACATAATTGGTTCCACATGCAATAACAACTTTTTGTGCAGTCAATTCACATACGATTGATCTTTGCAACCTCCATCTATTAGAAGAAAAAACTGGAATTTATTATACTTTATATTTAATCAGTCACCACAATGAATATCATGGGGATAGTAGGCAACCTTGTTTCACTCCTTCCCTTGAGTTATACAAATATATAACTGAACGATATACTGACAACTTATCATAATTCATGAGAATGAAATAAGTGATTTTATACGCAGAAGAAATGACGCTCAATGATGAATTCGCTGTAAAAGGCAGTTATCTTGGTACGATGAAACCATATGAGAATAAATAAGGGGTCAATACAAAACCCTTTATCTGAACTATAAATTAGCACTATAAAATAACCACTAGGTGAAATGTCATTTCAAATAATAGAATAATCTAATCTATCTTAATGACTTAAGTTTGCTATTCTGTCAGTATCATAGTTAACTACATAGTCAATTCGTATGACTGTAGACAGCCTTTTGCGTAAAACTTTTTTGGGTGCATCTCCACTAAAACTGGTTTTCATAAACCAGGTTTTCTTTTAAACAGTCACTTCTTCAAATTTCTAGCTAATTTTTCCCCATATATCTGTCTCTTTATAAAACTAGGAGGTAATCTGTTTTAGCCAGCCATACTATGACTGTATTCTAGCTCTTTTTGTATCGTATCATTGAAGAAGATACTCTTAATTCTCTTCGTAAAACATTCAATCAGACTGAATGAGTCCTAGTGAGTTCAGTGGGTTATCATCTCTTCTAGTTAACAAAGCATCTATAATACCTTACTTGCTTCCCTGTTTACTTACATAAGTGAAAGTAAATGAAGTATGTACGATGTTAAATTTTCTTCCCTAGTTTCCCAAGGAAAAAGTTTGCTTATCGTTTGTATATATCATTTCTTCGTAGGATATTTATCTTCATCACTTACTGATGATGTCATGTGAAACCGGAAGGTATGATCGATGTACCTTGTACATACATATCACACACATACTCATCATTTTACACTGACCTTATTCTTTCATTTAGCGTCAATTTTTCTGTTCTGTCGATTCAAACGTCTCATGGTAGTATCAGAGTATAAGGCGATGACTGATGACAAGTTTTCGACGCTATTCCTCTCTGCTCATTTTTCTCACATAGTTGTGTAAATGCCTATGAAATGATGTTATGTAAGTAGACGAAAATCACCTGATAGATAGCTGCTGCCTTGATGTGGTGATCGAGCTTGTACATCACAATGACTCAACTAGCTATGAGTGTGGTGAGATAACAAAGAGTTGCCGTTATAGTGTAAATTACCATGTTATGATGAGAGTCCGGAGTTGAACTAGCATTGTTTCCCGGACAGTGTGACAGAAGTAAGGTGATTCCCACGGAAGACCAGCTGCTCTATGCTGACACGGCCTTCTGCATGGAAAAGAGTTAGAAAAGGCCGGCCTCATAAATAGCACACTACCCCTGCCCTACAGTGTACCGGCTCCAGTGGTATATGTTTGTAGCTGGATTCGTAAAGAAAAATACTGAAATCTCAAACTTCTAGAAAGACTGTATGTAACTGACCTCAAGCTGATGTCCCTTGGGCCCTATGTTCACGCACCGCTATTACTAACCCTTGTTTTTCAGGTACTACAAGAAGAAATAGCTTTCCACTGTGTGGGTAGCCGGGAAGTACCAAGTCCCCTCATAACACTCATTATTCACGTTCCCTCAAACCACTGTTGATCTTCCACAACTTTACCTTCTAATTGTTCTTCACATCTCTCGGTCAATAATCCTACATCGTCATTATTTCTTCCAGCTCTGCGGCTGTCGATAGAGATTCGAGTTCGTGAAACAGTATTCCTGGTCTCTTGAAACCGCGTTCCAAAGTACGTATAGGAGCTTTCAATGTCCACATCATTCATCAAATCACCTAACAAGCTTCATTGGTGGAAACTCAGGCATCTTGAGCCATGGATATGTGATTTGTTTGTGAGACACGCAAACAAAAACCAAGTGCGGTTATTCACTTAACCTCTTCCAACCAATATCGCGAATCTGGAAATTTCAACCTTCATTTTCTGGAATTTCGATGGCTAGTTCTCGTGGTCCTGTGCTGGATACTAGTTTATAGTGCCCTGTTTGACTGCATGGTACAGTAAGGACTGAAAAGAACAATGGAACTCACAACTTTCTTAGTAATCTTTCCTTATGCACCCCCCGACTGACGCTCGGATGAAGTGGATGAGTTTTACTGAAAACTTTCCAGCCTTCCGCTGAAAGCTGAACGCTAAAATTTGGTTTTTTAGCAGGCGATTTCAGTATACAAGTGGGTAGGCTGTCAGGCAAAAAAGCACTTTTGGAATGCCACCCTAAAAGAACAGATAACAGTGATCACTTGCTTCACCTGTGCTTAGACGACCAAGTATTTCTAGCTCATGTGAACTTCAGACATTTAAAGAGATATCTGATCTGGCATCCTCCAACCTAAACACAACGGTGAACATAGGCAGGGCATATTAATGTCAGTAAGTTGTATGGCTTCAGTCCTTTAGGTGACAGGCATCAGCCCTTTCAGCTTTTCTGTGGTATTGTTCAAAATTCGTGACAATGGCGCTTATATAAACACCTTGTCAACTTCACATTTCGGGACGTATATTTGTTACGCCGCATATTTCTTGGTGCAGTAAGCCACATTTTCACCTCAGATGTAATATATTCCCCCTAGGTTAAGGAGTTAGTGTAACCTGAAGTCGTACATATTCACACAGTTATAGTTGCTTTCGCCTCAATTTTATTTTTGCTCACTGTCTTTCCTTCTCTTTAAATTAAAGTTAAATATATTCAGTCCAAAATCAAATGATTCAATGGCACTTGTAACAAGTTATCATCCTCATCAAGTGGATCATCACCAGTCAACCAATTTGTTACAACAACATGGATATCATGCGGATTGTCATCAGAAAGACCCAATTTCTACTTCTTCTTCTTCTTCTCCGTCAATTTTTAATATGGTATACAGTGAATCAGAGAATATAAACCAGGTAATGTGTTCCAATGTGTTTCTGTTTCTGATGTAACAGTAGTCATATGATTTATATACTTGATGGCAAGAATCAGTCGGCAAGTAGATCTGGTTGATGTGATCTAAGTTTTTGCTTATCAGAACTGAATAATGTTCTGGGATTTGAGGCCTTAGGTGCTGGGTTCAACTCAGTACACAAGCGCCATTGCTTACTAATATTCACCTACATCTAGTATGTCCTGAATCCCACTAACAGTCACCACTCAGCCAATTCTATCATTAATAAAGTTTGATGCTATATCAAAAGATCCGTCCAGGTAGCTTAAATGCCAAAGCACACTAATGAATTCGATCTAGTTTAATAATAATATAACGAGTCCATGATAGTATTCGGTCTAACTGCTTATTCGTAATACAATTTGGAGAACAGCATAAAAGATCTGTAAATTTACATCTGCTGAAATGATTGTAACTTCCATGTTTTCATCTATAGTTTACCTTCATACGCAATATGTTTTATCCTTAACCAGAAAGAATGAGAGCCACAACTAGTCATTTCTGAATGTCTGTGTCTGTCTTTGTTCTCATCCTTTGATGTTCTGATTAGGCCGTCTACGTTTTAGGGTCTTGTATACTTCCAATATGCTGTACTATATACAAATAATTGTGTACTGTGTGAGCTAGATATCTAAATTCGTCTTCTCCATGAGTCAGCTTGTGTGACATTAGTGTGGGTCAATAGCGGTTAACCGATGGCTTCGGGGAAGATTTTATCCAGCAAAAGTGAATCATATGTACGCTGTTTTCATATAAATTAAAAAGAAACACCGAGAAGGATATTGTGTAACCTATTCTGACTGGTTCATTGAAGCAGTAGTCAACCCAATAGTGTCATTTTGACCATACAACAGTATACATCAAAACTTAAAGGTCAAAAGCGTCTACCTCATCGACCATTGGCTCAAACTGTCGATTTATGCTTCCATCACTTCCTATCAGTCAAAGACACTACTTCATGATACATGGTGTACCTTATTGTTCTATCGACTTGTGGCTCATTGGTTAAGGGAGTCGTTGGTTCTTACAGCGCTCCACCTTCTGAGGTTTGGGCAGCCAGGTCGTATCATTAGCAGTCACACAATAGGTATAGCCGATTGCCCATTGCACTAATGTGCACAAGGTTGTTCAGTGGATTATGATTTTCGATCGTCTTGCTCCACTCAGTTTGCAGGATTTATCAGAAAAATTGTGTCTCTGTATCCTTGGAGAAACATGCAGTTCTTGAAAAACCTAAGCACTTGTGAATATGCTTTTTGATAGATTCTTACGAGGTTTGTATTTCACTTTTACTATTAGTGTTATTATTATTATCATTTTCTAGTTTGGTAATGGCTGTTACTGGTTGTTTTATAAATATCCATTAGTTACCTATTTTTTTCATGGAATCCTATGCTACCTGACTTAAGGATAAATTCATTTTTTCCTAACATTACCTTTCTACCTTCCTTAGAATACATGCATGACCAGCTCAAAATTATGCTCTGATGATGCTTTAGAACAAAAATTATTACAACGGAAACAGTGTAAACGCATAAAACTTTTAGAACAGAAAAACAACAATACTTTATCGGTATCAGAAAATTCTTTCTCTTCTCTTTTTCTTCTCTCAATTCTCATACTACTGCCATAAATGATGAAGATTGTTCACTGTCGGCTAAATATATGACCTTATTCAAGTCTGTTCTTAAATCATCTAATCGAATGAATGAATCTGAATATGCAACCCGCTTGAATGACTTTAAACAGTCTATGCAAGAATATAAACAAACAATATTGTCCAATCAAAAAACAGTACAGAATAATCAATCTGATCAACCTGTCGAAGTATTATTCACTCAATTATCTAGAATATTTATACCATTGGAAACCCCGGGACTTTTACAAGGTAAGTCATAATCTGTAGTCGTATAACGGTTGGGTTTTTTTTCAGATTTTTTTTGGTTATCAATTTGAACTGTATAGCAAAGTAGCAAACCTTCTGGATGGTATCCCGCTGACTACCGATAATGTGGTTATTTGGACGACTTTAAAGGTCCCCTTGGCAAACGCTAAAATAACCAATCAGGTTTCGGTATTCCGGCTAGATAGGTAGTTTTTCATAAGATAGAGAAGCCCTAATTGTTATTCCAGTAGTTGCTGGGATGGCCTTTAAAGTCACTCGTTTATTTACTTCTCCGAGTTTCTGTTCTGATAATTGAAACGACACACTTTTACGTCATTTTTTATGTTACTTATTTCTACCAATTCAGAACAAATGCTGTAACTTCAGTGTATTATTGCCGTTATGTTTTACCAGTTATAATATTACTGTAACTAAATGGAGTCTCTTTTAACGATAAATGAACGCTTTAACGTTAATCATGTGACTTAACTGATCGCTGCAATCATAGTTTTCATGCTGCTACGTGGTCATGAGTTGTTAATATGCCTCATTTCATGAATACAACCCAGACTTGTGTGTATTTTCATCTGCAGTACACACGTACTCACAACGGTTGAAAGTTGTTGTTGCAACTCTTAAAATTTTATAGTCTTGAAGTTACATAATTCACTAGTGCTTCCTAGACGAGCGATTGAAAAACAGACAAGTAATGTGATTTATGGTGTTCTAGACTTCATAATAACAGAAATCGCTTGAGGTATGCCCTTCAATTGTTGCGAATGTCTTTGAATCCATGTCCATGTTTTACACACTACTCATCAACTGAGCGAATAGAAAGTCGAGAACTAGATAACACTTCTACCAACAGTCGATTCCTAGTTATGAAGCTATGTTCACTGATCTAGGTAGCCGATTTTCGACTACTACATCACTGATCGGAACCAGCCACCACCTAACGAGGTTTAGGTAGCCGGATAGTATCTTTCTCCCCTACACAATAGCTATAATTCGTTGTCTGCTGCATGAGTATGCACGTGATTGCAGATAGTTTTTCCCCATCCATAGTTGAAGTACGTGTGTTTACGTTGGATGAAAAGCACGACCACACCCTTCAATGAATTACAAATATGCCACGAAGTCATTTGTGCTATGGAAAAAGACGGTTGCAGTGTACAGTTAATTGAGCGTTACTTTTTGACGATAAGGTATATAAAAATCTTCATAACATGAGGAAGAAACGAAAATAAGAATCTCATACAATTTTTATGAGACTTATTATCTTATTTATTTAATTTAGAACTCGTTTTATGGTATTGTTGTATACCTCACCTCAAGAGATTCCAATTGACTCCTAACTCAATTACCTACGATTTCATACTTAAGAAATAATCGACAACTAAGTATTATCACAATCTTTGTGTGTGAATTATGCATGATGTGTTGTGGACGTGTGAGATTCACTTGTAGATACAAATGATTTAGAGTGCACAGAATACAAGGTTGGGAAGCCGTTGGTCTTTATCTTCTGTTGTACGGTGGGAGGCGAAGGAAGACTGATGGTTAAAGTGTTGCAGAGAACTCGTGATGCGTTCGCTTCAGTTGTTGAATCATAGACTTGAGTGAAGCGGAGCATGCGTAGAGAGTCAGATAGTGCAGAATTTGCGTGTTTTTCCCAGTCATTTGTATTTGTCACGTGATATCAAAGTAAATCAGTTTACTCGTGGTTGCAACAACAACGGGTCAAAAAGAAACTTATTGGATTCTGTACACAAAAGAGTACTATGAAGTACTACCTGCATAAGTTGTTTTAAAATTTAGCGATTGATAAAAATATTTTCCACCTCATTTTAAATTTTTGTTTTGTCGCATTATATACATCGGTGTTTATTGAAACTTTAGGAAATTTGTCTCCTCTAAGTGATTCATCACTGAGCAATTAATTCTGATTGGTATGCACCCACTCGGCCAACTGGATTCAGATGCCCTGCACAATTGAACTCGTAGACTTAAATTTCTTTGCATACTCAAGTGAAGACTTTTGTTCAAAAAGAGTCTTGCTGTCTTTCAATGACAGTCATTTAGCTTATAAAGTCTTTAGAATGGGATGGTATGCTGTTTTGAAATGGTGGAGAATACGTGTAGCTCAGGTGGATAGTCTCAGTTGTATTATGTTCTCGATTAAACAACCCAGCTCAGAGAATACAATACAACTAAGGAGTGCTGTTTCTCAAACAAACGCATATATATGAAATGAATAAGCTAAACGATGATTTTATTCCCTTTTGACATTGTTTGATCCTTCTATCGTTAAATGTTCTGGTTACTCTAATAGTTTGCTTCTTATCCGACACTAAGTATAGTGAAAAGTGTTTGCTAAAAGTGGGACTTTAACTCATTGTAAAATCTACACCATAATTTAGAAGACCGACGATCACCATATAGTGCCCCACACAGCAGTTTTCCCATACTAGGACGAAACAACTATCCACCTCTCATACCTCTCCAACGCTCCTCCAACCATTGTCACTCCATGATGAATTCCAACCTGAAATCAATTCATAAGACTCCACATGTGATTAATCTAGATCTTCTCGGTGACTAGCTTCAAGAGATGATTCCCGAAGTTGCAATGAGAAGTGGTGACGAGTGGAGTCAAGCAAGTGAAAGATGAGGACAATTACTCGGCGACGACATTGGATGTAGGTGGCGCTATATCGTGAAGTGAAGTAGGAAGCAGGAAATGTGGACGATTGAGTTCCGACGGCGTGACTAGATATATGAGATAAAGATTCTTCAAGTTTGTATCATGAATGATAGCTATGGAAACTTAATCGATCCCACTTAAAGTATAAGATAGGGGCCGTTGATCCTAGCTTAGACAATATTTCCCCTCCTGAATTAAATAAATCCTATTTACTGTCTTAAAATTGAGTGATGAACTGATTCCCAGTCATCCTACTAACTAAAACTTGAATTTCACTATCACTTTGTAAATCCGGTGGCCATACGAAAAAGTAGTTGTGCTATCCAAACCAGATTTTTACTTAAATTACAAGATACTTTCTACGCCTTTCTAACTATACCTACCATTCAGATCAGAATTCTCCCCCCTAATTTCTTCAGGTGTCCTAATGATTAAATTTCTGTACTGGTAGGGTGGGCACTTGCCAAATTCAATCGAACTGAAGGTCATTGTAGGAACTACCGAGGTAATCAGCGGGTTTCTATATTTTTTTTCTTGAAAGGTAGTTTTTTCACACAATAAAGAACCCTAATTTTTTAAGTAGCCTTTTAAGTCCATCTTGGTTAACTCAGTGATTATAAGAACCAATAATCTTCAGTACTAGTCATGAAGGATATAATGCTGCTAAGGCATGGAAGCTGTTCATAGTACCTTCCCTTCCAGTAATTCGGTAATCGCCCTTACTTCTCTCAAGTTACGTTATTCTACGCTGGCTGGGGTAAGATTACGTTGAATTTTAAAAAATCAAGAGTGGTCAAACCGAGAAAAGAAACTGATCGTATTATTTTATGACTACCGGATGACTGAGGAAAACTATAAACGATATGGCCCAAACATATCTTCACCTCAACTATCTTTGGTGCATCTTTTTGGATTAGGTTGGAAGACGGTTCGGAATGCCCAGAACAAAACATGGCACTAGTCGATGAAGTCCCTGGCTATTGGACTTAGCCGTGTGCGAAGATGTAGACTACCTGGATGGGGTCCCTGAAATGATAGGAATTAAAATTAAATGGTTGACGTCTTCTGAAGCTTGGGTATTCGCATTAACCGTTATTTTCAAATCGCTTATTCTCTCACATAACTTTGTCTACTTTGATATCACTCGTCTTCTATGCATGTGTTCTTTTTTGTGCTACTGTGAAGTGTGTCAACTTGAAGTGATGCACTTGTGTGTGAGGTTCTACGCTGACAATGTCTGTCAGTCCGCTTTTCTTCTTGCCATATGCTCTTTCTCAACTAGTGATCTGATTATCTTCACTGGTTCCCTGCACTTGCTGTTGATTTCCGGTCACTATGGTGACATATGACGACTTGAACCGATAGTCGACTAAACCAAGTCCCATGATGGAATTATGTCATGCAAAGATTCCATAACTTGTCGGTCTATTATAGCTTATCGTAATTCTTTCTGCGTATTTAACTTCAGTTTTTCATTTTTAAAATTTCACTGAACATCCAAGATTTGTGGAGATGTTTAGGATCGTATTGAAAATGACAGCAAGATATATTTGTATGTGAAGTGTCAAGTTACGAAAGAGAGAGAGAGAGAGAGAAAGAGACATTGTGTGTGTATTAATGGATATCATCTGTTTCCATTTATATCCCTTCCTTACATTGTTTCCCCTAGATGCTATCTGCTTTCTGTTACCGGAACATCGTAAACGTTACGCTGAACTATGTCACAATTTAACGGGATTACCAATCATTCAACAGGATTTAAAAGGTGATAAATATGAAAATAATACAAATCAAGGTACGTTTTCTGTGCCTAATACATTTTTTTAAAAACTAGCGGAAATCATATCTCCCTTTTTCAGACTTCAAAAGCATTTTAGCATCTTGAGCTTGAACAATGATCTCAAGTAAACTTCAGTAAGAATGTTACAATGTAATTAAAAGGCAATCTTTATTTGTCTCTGAGCTTCTCCCAGAACTACCCTTTTATCGCACCGCTTTTGAATCCGTCTATCTACTACTGTGCATCAAAACGTATAATGTTTTTGACTCAAAAAGATAGCCACCGTTATTGATCTTAATTTTAGTTGCTTCTATCGACTATTATTATCCCTGGGTGGTTATGTTCGGATGTGATCCTACCTGCCGGTGACGTCGCATCAACTAAGAGAAAAGGCGAGTGTACTTTACTAGCCCACGGCGAATAACAACGTAGTAAAATCTTGCATAATGTGCTGTTTGTAGTGAAAATTATGATTCCTTTCGCAAATGATCAGATGTTTCCACTGTTCACAAACCAAAGTAATGTCTATCGAAACTATCTAGTTTCTCGTACGTCTTCAAGCAGTGTCAGTATGTGTAAGGATATCATCCTATATCCTGACACCCATCTTAACGATACCAGGCTCATAAGCTGTGAATCACACAGATTAGATTCGGAATAGTTAGAGGAAATTAATAGTCTTACTGCCACTTTTTCCCTCCTAGCTTGGTTGGTTTTCAGGAATTTCTCGAAGCAAAGCTAATGTCATCCTTTGAAGATAGTTCGAAGGTACTAATTGAACACAGAACTATTTTAGTCGATGCAGTCATTGAGTACCATAAACTTTCATCCGGTAAACTACCCTTGAGTATGATATAATTCACCTGATATTGCTTCGGACAGATAAAACCGATACACTAAGAGAAGAAATATCAAAATATTAGAAATCTTATTACATCAAGTTACAGCAACCATAGGCTTGCTTGTAAGGTCGTATCAGCGACCGACGAAATCTCTGCACGAATACAAAAGGTCCGATCCCCTTTCGTCAACCTATGCCATTTATGGCGCTGTTGCGATATCCGGTTGCCGAATGTACTGCTCTTTAGTTCAATCAATTCTACTATACTGCTGTGAAACATGGTTATTGGAGGTAGAGGACGTGAGAAAGCTTCAAATGTTCAGTCATCGTTACCTTCATATCATAGGTCGTGTGTCGTAGTGTCACCACATCAGTAAAGTAGAAGTCAATAGTAGACTTTTGGGCAGAAGAGGAAAGTAAGTTGGTGAGGTTACAACCGGCTCAAGTGGCTGGGATATGTCATGGATTCCTAGTTACCATCCGCCTTGTCACATAATCTTAGCTGAAGTGGGTTTAGGATGAGAAAGGGCTAGTAGCGCCCATACTAAGACAGAATCACTCCAGGAAGTTTTTGACTGTTGGTCTGAGCCATATAGGGGAATGTAGACTTTCCGGTTGGGGTCTGAGTGACAATAGAAACCGATGGTTGGAGAGTCCAGGTGATATGGTTCAGAATCGATCTCATTGGTACATGTATCCACACATTATCTTCATCGTCATGCTGAACTTCAGTATTCTTTTACTCTTTCTTGCCCTATTTTGGGGACTTCCTACCACTTTGATTACTTTCTTACTCATTTCTTCCACCTTAAAGAATTCTCTCTTGATGTGCTCATATGTGGGGTGAGAACTTGGATTAATACACGGTAATGCCAGTTCCCGTGTAGATATTGACTGACTGCAAAGCATATACGTGTTAGATGTTAGGAAGCAATCAGATGAAGGACTTACTGTATCTAAGTTCTATGCTTGCTGGTGCTCACCAGCAAAGCGTATTTTCTGCCGTAAGGAAACTTGTGTTCCCTCCATGACTCGAGCCTGTGTCAATCAGTCAGCGACCTTGCTTCTGTTCAGTTCACGACTGGTGCGCGAGCTGGCCACCAGCGGGTAAACCGGTGAAGCTCTCCGGTCCTAAGTGCTTAATACAGATCAAAGACTACCGGTCAAGGGTTTTCTGTCGACGAACTCCCATCATTTCACGCCAAAATACATTGCACTACAGTGTCGGATTATGTGGTCTAGTGGTCAAATCCCGAACTTGAACATTAGACTGCCGTCAGTACCAAGTACTAAGGATTAGGCAGCATACCTGCTTTGCATAGCTAATCCTCGAGTTTTTAGCCATGCAATACATCAAGTTAAACAACGTATATAATTAAGTCATAGTTTGGTTATTAGCTTATCATCCTGAGTGAACACAATCCTGCAGGTGGGTAGTACATAACCAACGTTCTTAGGCTATTCAAAGTATTAAATTAAAAATTTTGTGTATATTTTTGGTTAGAAATAGTGTTGAAGGCACTGACTTCGATACCTTCGAACAACATAACTAATAATGCTCTTGAAATATAACTTGAAGTATCACATTATTTACATGCATTTATGCATATACTCTGCAACATTTAACTTTATCAAGTGATCTTTGAATCTTCATCTTGACAATCCGAGATAGCCGTGGTTTGGAAGATCGGTGCTGATACTGGGTGATGATTGAGGTTGAAATGAAATTTTAAACCGCAGACAGATCCGAACCTCGTAGCTCAGTTGATAGAGCACCGGTCCAGAAACCTGGCGGTTGTTGATTCGTATTCGGTCACGATTTAAATTTTCACTTCACTATCAATCACCACCCAGTTAGTAATCTATTTTTGAACTGATAGCGCCATTGTTAAAACTACCTCGATAAAATTTCTGTGACAAGGTGTACACTGAAGGTGTTGTAGAAAATAGGTTTGTTCATGTTATTTTTTAGCCCCTGATAATGAAATAGACAATAGATAATTAACGGATTTGGAATTTTGAAAACTTAGTGTAAACTTAGTTTAGCCCTTAGAAATTATCTACAACTGAGGTCAGTACAGTGATAAGATATCTGACCTTGATATTTTATCAAGACACTTGATGAGTTTTTAACATGAAGTTTGTCTGTCAACCTTGAAGACAATTGAAGACTACAGCACGTCAGTATATGCAACTTGTTTCCTTACTAATGTATCCTTTAGCTATTGTTTATGAAGTAGTTAGAAGTTCACAGCTCAAAAGTCACTCTAGAGGTTATTTTAAATGTTCCTTATTGGGAGCGACTTTAAAGGCCACCCTAGCAACTATTGAGATAACCAATTTCTTTATTTTATGAAAAGTTGCCATGTCATGGAAAATATTGAAACTTGATTGGTTATTTTAGCAGTCTCTAGGGTGACCTTTAAAGTTACTTCTTATTGGTAACATTTTCATTCAAAATATCCATGCATCTATTTATTTGATTATTTGGAAGCTATTGGTCAATCAGGAAACTTATCCCAACCTTCATTGCTCATCAATACTGATAGTTATTCTATAAAGTTTCTTCATGTTATTTCTCAAACGATATTGAGCACTATATTTCCATAGTAGGAAAAATGTATGTGGTAATGTAAAACCGTATTAGTTAGTTAAGTTCAATGTTAAACACTTACAGATTATCATTGACTTTTTTTTAAAGTGCCTCAAAATTCGGCGGTTAGTTCAAAACAGTCAACAAAACCTACAGAAAAATCACTTGAAAATTTAATGAAATGTTGTAAATGTTCAGCTAATCCAGCAGAAGTTCCTCTGATATCATGTTGTAAACATATAGCTTGTTTTAAGTGTTGGCGATATATTATTGAACAAGTAAGTTTTAAATGTTTGTTCTACTCCTTTTAAAAAGGAAATTACGATGATTTGGTCGATCTTCTATTCATATAGTTCTTTTCAATTTCTCTAATATACATTAAAGATCACTGGATTCGATGGTCTAGCTTCAGAAACTTACTGCATACTTAATTTAAGACAATTCAGTTTTCCTCATCTGTTTTTATAACAGTAGATTTCTCATTTTGTCTGTTGGTCTGGCTTCTTGCTCGGTAACACTGGGGATACCAAAGAGTAGTTAAAAGTTTAATGTCTATGAAGTGTGTTCTGCTGATAAAGAATTGAGTGAAAACGCAAAAAGCTGTTAAATATTTTGTGATTTACAGTGGTATATCATGAGTTATATTGATTTCTGCTATCATCATACGGAGGCGATTTCCGGTTTTCATAGTTACAAGTTGTTAATCTGAACTGCACAGAAGTTTCACATTAAAAACAGCTACTTCATACCCCTAGGTTTTAAATTATTCACTTAGAAGTGAAAAAATAAGCCATTTTTCCTATTTAACCAATTTATGTGATATCACAGGTGAATGTATTTTATGTTATATGTGTTGGTAGCAATCAAAGTGAACCTATAAAGCCAGATTTTCAAAATTAACTTAGAGGAAGCTGATTTTTGAAGGTGTTTAAATCCACATTAGTTAGAGCTATCACCATTCGTAGTTATTCGACCCTTGGACAGGTTGTTTATTTAAATAAATATGTGGTTGCATCGATTCTTTTTCGGATGACTATATCGAATGTTTCATGAATTGATACTCTTAGAACAACACTGCACCCCTAACAACAAGTGATTAACTCATGCTACCACACATCAGAAAGGGATAAATGAGATAAAGAGTGGAAATGTTTTAATTTCACAATATTAAAGATGGATCATTTCAATCGATTTAAGGGTTCACATAACCCTGATGTGTCTATGGGTCGTGAGATTTTTTTCATCATGCATATGTTTATCAACACGCCTGGATGTCTGTAAATACATCATACTAATAAATTCATTGAATCACCTTGTGGGTTGCGTTATACGCTATTAGTCATGTCGAAAGGTTAGAAGAATCAACATATAGAACCTCGCATAGAACAGCTTCAGTTCAAGTCGCCATACTTCACACCAGCATGTAAACGAGTGGATAGTAGAAGACAAATATATAAACAAATATATAACAAATATATAACAGGAGAGAAAAATAAATGAAGTCTATTGAAAGTATTTAGAACTTCGAGTGTATAAATCTGCTCCATTGTAACCTATTTTGAGGTGTTTCATCAAGTCTCCAACCAACAAGATTTTAAACATCCTGAGAACCTGTCAGACAGTCTATATCTTTCTGGATAGCCCACATCAAGAGTAAAGAGTTCATGGACTAGTTTTACATCTTGGTCTGACCATCTGCAGCATCTTACTAACTCAATTCTACTTCGGTCAGCATCGTATTTCGAAGTAGGCTATGGGTAGCATACGCAACAAATGTCGAAATCACTTGAGTTGGTGAAAGTTCACACCTTCATCGACTGACTTGCCTTGACTAATACCCTTCACGTAGCCTCAACAGTGCTCACTTTCTTATCCTGACATGTGAGCAATGCCATAAAGATACCTGTAATCTTTTCCTTCCTTTTTGCTTTCAGCGGTTATGTCCAACAGATGTATATTAGGACAGCGAAAAACCTCATTAACTGCAACGCTTATCGACCTTAGTGCATTGTTTTATGAATTACTCTTCTTTTTTTTTAACCTTTAGGGTGATCGTCAGTGTCCTTCTTGTCGAAAATTACTACGACGACGTGATTTATCACGTTTAACTCAAAAGACAGACACAAATTAAATGTACATCTCTAAGGAAACTGAATTCTATGGATGGATGCATTTAATTAACTTTGATAAAACTAATTTTCAGTATGGACGAAGAAATCTTTTTTTCACTTTATTTTATCATTATTTTTATATAAATGACAATAAAGTATTTTTCTATTGTGGTCTGAGTTATTTAAATACTGTCAGTTTGGATTTCACATATACTGGGTGTTAATTGAAAGTGAAGTGGAAAACTGGACCGCAGCAGGATTCGAACCAGCAACCGCTGAATTACCGGTCCAGTGCTCTAACAACTGAGCTGTGAGATCCGACTGCAGGATCATCATCAAAATCAACGTAAGATCAGGTATTACTGTGTAACGGTCCAATTTGCCACACCTCATATCAGCACATCAAGTAACAAGGCAATAAAATGGAAGATGAAGAAAGAAAAATCGGTCAAAAGTAGAATGTAGTAAAGGAGAGAAATGAGAAAATGATGAGATTAAATATTAGTGGTTAAGATCAGGATAACGTGTGTATACATCTGGGCCACTGTCATCGGTTCTGAACCATATCACCTAGAATCCCCAACCACTGGTTCTCTTGTCACCCGGACCTCAACCGGCTAGTCTGCATCGTCCTACATGGCTCGAATGGACAGTCAAGAACTTCATGCATTATTATCATGTCTTAGTCTGGCCACCCAAGCCTTTTTCTAGCCTGGACCTACTCCGGCCAATATTGTGCGGCGACGCAGACGATGGCTAGGCATATGTAACACATTTCTCAGCTATCTGAGTCGATAAAGGTTTACAACTGAGTTACTTTTCCTCCCCAAAACTCAGCGCCTGACTTCTGCGTTACTCACTTAATGACACCGCGAATTACGGCCTATGCTACGAAGGAAACGGTGGTCAAACACCTGAAGCCTTCTCATGTTTTCTACCTTTAATGCCCGTGTTTCACATGCATACAGTAGGACAGAGCGGACTGCAGCACGGTAAACTCAACCCTGAATAGGCTTGCTTAAGAGTCAAAGGTTTACATTGACTTAAGGCGATCTAAGGCTTATGTGCATAAGACTCTAAATTACACTCATTAAATACTTGACTATAGTAGCAAGAGCACACAAGATTATTTCTGAGCAAACTTTACTCAACAGAGCGGGAACACACCCTTGTGTATCTACTTCAACGGAGAAATGAAAGGAATTATTGAGTGACTGTGTTTAGGAGAAATAGCTTATGTACATAACTTCATCAGAAAATGTCCGCGAAACTCATAACGAAATCAGCAAACAAACAAATAAGGAATGGCTCAGATATTATAAATAAAGTAACCAAAAAACTACGAATTCCCTTCACTTTATACTGTTTAGACTCAAATATGCAACAAAGAAACTGAACAACACAAGAGAAACTATTTTAAAAAATCTGAGAAACATAAAAATGTCACCTTTTTAAGTAATGTGAACATCAATTGGCTGCTATGCGCGTCACACATCCCCCTACAAAAGCATACAACATGAATTCAACTTCGACAGTGCGGGATTATTGGATAGAATAAACACAAAATTATGCCGTAGGATTTTTAGCAGCTTGGTGATCAAGTCCGTATACTATAAATATGCAAAAAATACACCAACCCAGCCAATAAAAGTAGTAACTCAACACAAAGTCAACGGGAGAAACCCTCTCAATGAATACTACTATACCATCAAACCAATCCTATTGGAGTCACATATTTCCGCAACCATTGCAACATAATTCCCAATATAAAATTAAATCAATAAGTATACAAAAAGCTTTCTACTCTTTTCAACAGTTACACTGTCTTCCAAATTCAAGTTAAGGCATTCATTCTTTATGACAACTACACCACTAGATCAGAATCAAGCGATTAATATTTTTTTTATCTCCATACCTCAAATATACAAAACAAATAACTACGATAAATAATTAATTAAATGTTCACCATTCAATTCGCGTGAAAGCATATTATCCACTTCGACTCACTCTTATATTAGCTTTGGAAGAACTCAGTTTTGCACAATACATTGTTTATTAATCTGAGCATTTTTAATTTGCTGTCATTTCACGGTATGGTCAGAAGTTCATCCCCCCCCCTTATTTTCCAGGTAATTCACTGATTGGTTAATGCTTCATTTTACTAGGTTGTTTCGATTTCTGGACAAGGTCATATGTCATGCATATATATACACATGTATTTTGGGGTTAATTATCTATTCTTCTCAGAGGTAATAAACTCTCCTGTCCAGTCCAGTCTTCTCTATTTCGTCCGGGGTGAGAGTCGGGGGATCTGACGTACGATGTTAGCTATAAGTCAAGTGTGCGTGTTATATCCTTTGAGAACACAACAATTAGTGTACAAGACAGGTAGGATGTTTCAATTCGTTTATTTATGTACACACAGTATAATTACAATCTCCTCAAGGAGAAAATCTTTGACAATTTCACTTTTTAGGTGTAGTTTTCTTCGAACTTGATCGAAGAGTTTTCCGACGATTGTCAGGCGATTTACTTGATACTGAATCGTTAGATTTACGTGGTGATGTTGAAGATTTCTTCTTAGTTTTATCGATGGTCTTACGGCTGGCATCTTCTGGTTCACCATCACTACTCGCCATCGACTGAGTAGATTTCGTTTCACCTTCTTCCTCCTTATTATCACTAGAAGCTGCAGGGGTTTCTAATTTATCTAGTATAACACTTGAAAACAGACTGGTTGAAGGTTCTGAAGATGTAGAGGACGCCTTTGTATTCCGTAAAAAAGGGAAAATAAAAAAGATATATGCGAAATGAGTTATTAGTCTGACAAACATTACACGTAGAATCTACCATTGATTGTTTGATTTTTCTCTAAGACACTATCGAGTTATACCACTGCATCTATTTTCTTAACTAGCTTGTATACGTGCATATTTCCAAATGTTAAGATATGTGATAACTTCTTTTGAAGAGATAAGAAATCACTGTGAAAAGCAACGTAAGGACAAACTGTTTTTGCTGATGTTCCATCAAACGACCTTAAAAAACTAGAATGCAAAGTAACACCCAACCTGGTAAAACTCTTGAATATCAATGTTACTAGCAAGGAAGAATTCAATTCCCTTAAACCAATGGGGTCTGAGCTACCGAATCTCTATGGATTGCCTAAAACAAGTAATCCTTTACGTCCTATACTTCCATGTTTCGTTCACCTACACATAAAGTGGCGGAATGGTTAGCAAAAGCTTGAATTCCTATTCGAAATGAATTATGTTTTAAGTTTTCTTCAAAAGATACTTTTGAACCTGTTGATTATGATAGTGATATTAATATCAAAGATAAGAGGTTGTATTCATTTGATGTCAACTCCCTATTTACTAATGTACCCTAATTAAAACTATTGACATTCTTGTGGCCATGTATCTTCCAGTAATCCTTCTTTCCCTATCCCTCAACGTGTTTGAGAGAGCTGTTATTATTGTGTACTGATAAAGTTCATTTCACATTTGAAGGTGAACATTTTCGACAAATAGATAGTGCGGCCATGGGAAGTCCCTTAGGACCACTGTTAGCTGATATTTACATGTCACACATTGAAGGCTTGACCGGCGATGTTATCACTAAAGTTACTCTCTATAAGAGATATATTGATGATATAATCGTGATATGTGACAAGCATAAAGATGCAACATGTTTGTTAGAATGACTTAAAATCGTGCAAAACAATATAAGTCTAACATGTGAAGAACAGAAAGAAAACCGTCTACCGTTCTTGGATATACTCCTAGGTTGTAGAAATGATGGTTCGATAAAACGGTCGACCTACAGGAAACCTACTTAGACAGGTCAGTATTCAAGTTTACATGGCTTCTGTCCAACCCAATACAAGCGAGGTTTGGTAACTTGCCTATTTAAAAGGATCCAGCTTATTTGTACGAAAGACTCAATGGATGATGATATCAAAATACTAATAGGAACATTAGTGGAAAATGGATATTCATTGAAGTTCATAAACCGCTGCAAAAATCAGCCAGGATTCAAACCTAATCTGTACTATTTCGAAGAAATGTGTTTACATCGCGTTACCATACAGAGTAGAATCTAACGGCATAATATTAAAACGAAGGTTAAGGTCTGCTGTTAGCAAAACGTACTATTCAGCTAAGCTTATCGTAGTTGAGAAGACCAAACACCTGCTGCAACCTAGACCTCAACGCTGTATAAACGATTGCGTCACATCCCACTGCGTTTATAAATTTACATGTGTGTGTGGACAAACATATATAGGGAGGACTAGTCGTGATATGCACTTGAAGGTAGGGGAACATGTTCCAAAGTGGCTACGAAAGCAGCTGGATTCACTCACAAACATTGATAAGCGCAGATGGCAGACAACCATCATCATCCATTGCAAAACATATAATTGATAAGAGTCACAGGAGTGATATTAAAACAGACTTTACAATTTTGTATAGAAACTATCGAGAGCGTATGCTTAAGTTTGCTGAGACCCTAGCCATAAATAAATCTAACTCCTTATTGTGTGTGTGCAAAAACAGTTTGTTCTTACGTTAAGCCTACCTTGGTAATGCTTATTTTATCGTACTACCAAGATTGTCTTCAAATCTTATCTCTTTTTCCCTCTCATTATCTTTCTTATTATTGAATTCCTTTATGTCATATTAGTCTGTCCTCCGCTCCCAGTTTCCATATATAATACCCTAACAAGTAAATGTGTGATCAGATTGTTCGAAATGTATAACGCTAACACATCACACTTTTCGGATAATCTACGTCTTCTAATTACATTATTCTAATATAATTTTTATTAAATATAGAACCACTGATTACTGTGACGAAAAACCCAGAGAGTCTTCTGACTTTACACGACTCTCGGGTGCGTACTTTCAGCTGAACTTGATAGTTATTCAAGATGCTACAGTAAAAACCAGGACTATGACATGCCAGAACTCTATATTCCCAAACTGATAATAGTAAAAATTCTCCTGTGGATTACTCAACGGGTATAGCTGAGAGAAAACTATAAGTAGAACTTGCAAAATTGAGAACAGAAGAATTAGAAAGTTGTGTTGGACCTATTCGAGATCTTTCCGCTGATGCTAAATTAAAAGCAAATGAACCCGTTACAGAAACTTTGACAAATTTTGAACGTCATCTGGAATTTCCTAAACAAGTGGTACAAAAGTTAACTGGCAATCCGAAGGCCTACTTGGTCATTCAGCCCACAGAATTCCAAGCTGCTACTGAAGATAACTCTGTACTACTTAATTATTTGATCCAGTTCTGTATAGGTGGGATCAAGGAAACTATTGAGCATTGTCGTATTATGAATGGAACAGAAGATTCAAAGATGGTTAAGAAAATATTAGGAAGTTAATATCATAGTAAAACTTGAGCACTGTGGTAGAATATAATTCCATTTTAATTGATTTATTAGATGTAGCACACAGTGGAACAGTATTATTTACTGGATTACGTTCCGGATATAATTTACTGTCCATAGTCATATCAAGATAAAATATTTGGAAGAGATTCTGGAAGAACCTCATGATAGCCAGAACTCTCAGTGATGGACTACCCATTAAGAACGACTATGTTTCATCTTTAACCCACCGCAATTATAGTATACAGGCTTGTGGAGGAACCTTGAAACAGATCAAATATGAATCAGATCTGAATGCAAAGTAGTCGTAACTCACTTGCTATCGAAACTCCCCTTTAAGTGGAGCAGTAGCTATAGAACGAAAAAAGCGAGGAAGAGAACCCACGTTTAGTGTTTTATTTAAGTTTGTAGAAGAACGCGTTGATACTAGGCAACTGAAGGGTTATTGTGGGCCAGTTGAACAGTGTTTCAAAATTTTCCATCTAAATTTTTAGCCGCCTGGCTTAAGAGATTATCAAGGACCAAGAAGTGGTCCGAATTCATGATGCTTCGATAAAATCACTTCACTACATGTACACACAGTCAGTTGCGTAATGGAGAAAAATCAACGATGGAAGTCTAGAAAAACCGTAAACATATAATTAGTTATATTTTGTGTATACGTTCCCCTTGTGGTACATATCTTTGAACCATTTTTTCCATTTCACAGAAGATGAACGACAAAAGAGGCGGAGTTTGAAGGTTGCCTTGTAAGTGTTAACAGATATCAGCATTCAGGTCATATCACCAGACTTAAGTATTGATCAGTAAATAGAAAATGATATGAACCCGTGACCTACTAGTTGATAGGGAGCAGTAGGCTTTACAAACGAAGTAATACAACTAAACAACTTGATACAACAGCACATTTTTTTATAACACATAAATCATATAACAATTATTAATGCTTACATAAGACTCCCAAAATCGCTATAAGCAGAGCAGAATTTCAACTAGTGACTCACTGATCGAGAAGCAAGCAAGTAAACAAATAAAAAGCAATTCCAAATTGCATAATTTAACACTTCCAACAGAAGGAAGTCAATGCTGATAATCTTATAAGTTGAACATTTAGGTTTTCTGCTGAATTTGTTAACCTTGGTTCATTTTATATTAAAAATAAGTGATGAGCAGTCATTTTGCGAAACCCAGCGGTGGTTCACTGGTCTAGGCACTCAGATTTCAATCAGTGGGTCACTGGTTCGAACTCTGCTCCACTTGTCATGGTTTGGGCAACCACGTAGAACTACTAGCCTTCACACAGTAGGTATGGCCCAGTTCAACACTGCTGAGCAATCAATCCAACGGCAATATTATAGTTGAACAGAAAGAAAAGAAAGTTAAACTTACTTTACTAGATACAGACAGATTATCAACGAAATTGTTTACGTCGGGATACTGGAAATCATCTGAATCACTTTCAATCTCAAAAAGATCTGCTGCATCTTCTTCACCCCATCCGTCGTCTGTATTCATACGATTTTGTTGTTGATGTTGTTCTGCATCAGATGACAAGGGTTCGTTAACATCAAACACACCGGCATCAGATTCTTCAAATGACTGATATACTGACTCTTCATTATATTCTAACTCATCATCTTTTGTCATAGAAGATGCTGAATCTAAATCCATCAACGCATCATCATCATCATTCGGAATGTCAAAATCATCTTCAATGTCGACTGAACTACTAGGAACTTGTGCAACAGTTTGTTTTTTAATACTCTTCTTATCTCCATCTAGAAAAGATGAGATATACAGTACAATGCCTATACAAAACATTGAGATTGCAAAGAATCGCAAATATACTACAGTAAACGTGAATCAATTATCATATGATTTAGCTGCCAACTCTTAGTTGTCTTTAGATGCACTTTTTTCTGCGTTAATATGCAGTGTCACTTACACCTTAGTATCTGGATTGCAAAGGTTTCAATTAACACCTAACACAGGTAAGTTACGTTGGTTATCACCTAGTAACAAACTCATATGCACAACCCAAAGCTGTAGGAGGTTGGTATTGCACTGAATAACTTTGTGGTAAAAGTGGGTTGTTTGGTCAAATTCATGTTATCCAGTCCCAAGTTCTGATCAAATTCCATCGATCATCCCGTATTGTGAACATCAAACACTGGAAGACTAATTGCGGTTCTGTAATTTCGACTGATTTCAATTGGTTGGATACAATCGTTAGCCTACGCCCAGTACTCAGATTTCCTGCTGGTTAGTAGTCGTCAACACGGCATATCTGCAACTTTAAGGGAATACATGTCCCTTCAGACATTTGTGTCATTGAGATAGTGACCACATTCATTGTATTAGGTCTGCCACACTACTTATCTACCTGAAGTGTGGGATTCGAACCCTTGATGAACAGTTAATCCAACAAGTCACATCCGGTATCGAGGCATCCGCATAGGAGCCAGTCAGCCAACAGAGGTCGAACAATTAGATGATCGAGAAATTTCAAGCCTTAAAACAACAGTTGGCACCCGTTGCACAAGTGGTGACTCTCATGTTCCAGTGGCTTAGGGATAACGCTTAGGCGTTTGAAGTGCTGGGTTTCATTGGGAACAACATCACTTTCTGAAGTGCAAGTACATCCAGCTGACGAGTCTTGAGTAGGACGAAACGCACGTCTTGGATCCCACTGGTAGGCACCAAGCAGACATCAACAACAAGTCACAGCTTTACAGACCAATGCGTTGATCTACTTTGTTTACTGAAAACACTTACCATCAGTGTACGTAAACTTAGTTTTCGGTAGGATTGTATAATAAAGTCGACGAGGAAGATGACCCATGTATTTTTGAGCTTTCGACCAATTCTCAACAGCATTACCACGATTAGCAGCTTCTAAATACATATTCCCCATTTTAAACATTTCGTAATAATATGAGCATAGATTTTTTAATGACTGTTGAATTTCTGGTGATTGTAAGGATTTGTAATGATTTTGAGTAAGATAATCCAACCAAATAAGTACTTGCTGAACTACATGAGGATGATGATTTTCAGATACAATGAAATTTGTTAGAACTTCAACAAATTTCGATAAGTGAATATGACTTTGGACAAGTTTCTCAACTTGACTTTTAATCCATTCTGGACTTGTTCTTTGTATGAAGAGCTGGAATTGACAGACACCCACGGTTAAGTAAAATTAATACTAAATAACTTACTTTATTGAAATTTTTAGAGTTTACAAGGAGTCCATCTAAATCGTTTAAGAAATCAACACGTTTTTGTATCTAAATCGCGACAAAGGTTAAGTTTGCAACAGCCACCTACAAACCTTAGGCTTTGACTCCAAAAGTTCATCACCTTGTTGCTCCATCTAGAAAAATACATTCGAGAAATACGTACAAACGTTAATTAAAAATCATGACTGAGTAAAAAAGAAGCAAAGTAACAAAAACACAACTCAATAACAGCATGAAGTTTTGTGTAACAGACAAAGAACCATGCCAACTATGTAAGTCCATGCTATGGAACAATCAAGTAAAGAACATGGAGGTTAGATATACGGTTTGATGTATAAGTTCATTGGTAAAGTCGTGGCCTTGATCAAATACAGTGGCTCGGCATGTGTAATACATATCTAAACCACCACTTAACTAGACATACAACGGTCAGCTGAAGTGGGGTTACGGAGATCAAAAAACCAAAAGTATTATGCCAAGCATATGGTATCAGTCGATGAAGTCCTGATTATAAACTCCAGATAATATAACTCAGAAATGTTCGAAAAGGTGCAGATCCACTGACATGTTATCTTTGTTATATCCCACTCCACTACATACTTTACCACCTCTTTTCTTCTTGTGATTCCCAACTCATTTTCATTGAATTTTCTCCTACTTCTCTCTTTTATTTCATGCCACTTTATGAGATATGGTGGGACGGACTGTCACGCAGTAATGTTAGGTCCCCTGTTGATATTACTTGAATGGCTGGTTCTATTCAGCTTCTCAGACCTCGGTAATCTGAGTGTGGTTTAAACCCATGACTCGAGTGTGTGAAGCAATGAACAATAGTTCCAAACAGACAGATACAATCAGCATGGGACCTGGCAATATCGCTTAAAGTTCCACGTTGCTACACTTCATGCCAGCATATCAAACGAGAATGCTCTAAGATGAAGCGTCAATAAGTAAAGAAGAAAGCAGTCAAAAATGGTAAAAGGTTGTCAAAAGGAAAACGAAAAATGACAGAATACTGAAAATCAGTATAATGGTCAGAATGAAGATAACATGCGGACACATCTGTGCCATGGAGATCGATTTTGAGCCATTTCATCTAGGGTCTACAACCACTGGTTTCTGTTGTCACACCGACTACGTCTCGGAAGTCGACAGCTCCCTGCATGGTTCAGACCAATAGTCAAAAACTTCATGGACTCATGTCATATTTTAGTCTAGTCATGTTTACCCTTTCTCCATCCTTAACCTACTTCAGCTAAGATTATGGAACAAGGTGGATAATGACTAGGAATGTATAAGATGTCCGAGCCACCTGAGCCGATGAAGGTTTGCAACTTAGTGGATAAATATATTGACTTTATGTATACTAGGTTGATTAAATGTTAATTACCTTAAAAACTAAGTATATAATGGAAACCCAACTTACGTGTGGATTCGTTCGAGTTATTGCATTCGTTAATGGTTTAAATTTCAGCTATACTGGTTATCATATTACAGTTCACAGTAAAGAATTTTGAGAAATGCTAAACAGTACGTCAATGAAAATTTTTCGTACAACCTGAAAGTGATTTACTAAAGGCTGCTTAAACAAGGGGGGAGTGCTAAGCAATTGAGCTGATCATTACATTAGAGACTATTCTCTGCAAGTGGTCCTTATGTCGTTTCAATAAATTTCCAGCATTTTTCATCATGTGAACATCTTGATTACAGTTTTTCACCACATCTTGATGACCCTTTTCCTTTCAACTTATCACTAAAATTTGTAGACAATGAAACGCATTTTTTCTTCGTGGTTAACAATTTCTAACAGCTTGTCTTACTTATGATTTGTAATATCGATAAACGAGATTATTCAGTCAAACAATGAAACCGTAAAGGAGGAGGGAAACAACAAAAAGTGAAGGTATACGTGGTGAAACACAGTTTGCGAAATATCATCAAAAATATTCTTGACCACGATTAGCTGCTAAAAATGTGTAACGAATAACAGTGTAAAACAGCTGCACGTAAAATACATGCACATATACCAGTTACTATGATGGCAGTTCTAACCTATCAGTAAAATGAACCATATTAATCTTAGTGGCGGCCGTCGTTTAGCACCAAGCTGAACTAGTAGTTCCTGACCCACCTACTTATAGTGGCTCATTGATTTAGGTATTCGGTTTTCAACCAGCGGTCCACGGGTTCAAACCCCACTCGGTCCACAGAGGTTTTGGCAGCCACTTAGCATCATTAACCTATTGTCCTTCATGTAAAAGTGGTCAAATAGGGAACAAGGTTTACTATTCTATTAAGCAACACACTCGAAAACGTGGACGTACATTCACGATTATTTCCACGTTATCTGTTGCATCAAGACAGTCTGCTGAGTAAAAATTAGATCAACGTTAGTATACAGATGAGAAAATCCTATTTTACAGGGTATTGAGATGAAAACTGGAAGGTAAACGGTTCATCTCGTCCTAGCTGGAGCACGAGAGCATCTAATGAAACTAAAAAACCCTGTATTTTGTTGAATATGTGCTTTTAGCTTAGGAATGTCTTCGAAATAAATCGAACATGATTGCCATTTAAGAGGCATAGTTGGCATTCAAAACTAATGGCAGTGAGATACAGCTGTATAATTCCTTTTTCTAAAAAATGAGGATTTTGGTCAGCAGTGATGTTGACGTCAACGTGTAAGAAAGTATTTTTGCAAGTTATGTACGTGACAAGTTATTGTCATTCAGATTACCGGGGATAAAATGTAAACTTAATCGTAATATATAATTCTGAATACGGCTTTGATAGCTTCTCCTTAAATAAACTAAACCTCTGAGAAAATAGATGTACATGTTTCAGTGCATGACGCCTCAATGTATCGTTGACTAAATTTGCAACTTAGTGATAGAGCCACCAACTAGCTTGTTTGATTATAAAACTTTAGAATCTACTGTCTTTCCTCATCTAGATGGTTAGTTTGATCTGGTTTATTGCGCTAGTCAGCAATTGACCATGTTATGATTATTAAGTCTGAGGTCACATCAATCTAAAAAATGAATACCCTAACTTGATTCAACATGCGGAAAGCCAACATAGTAGCTAAAACATTCACAGTACTTCCAAAAGAAGTGAGGATCAACAAGTTTTAGTTGAAGCGTGATCGTTTTCCGAAGCAACTGTATGTCCAAGGAATCTAGTCAATTATTTCATGGTCTATTCATTAGAGATGATAACTTTGTCTTTAAACAAACGAGAAACTTGTTTATCATGACGGAAGACAAACCCTAGAGTTCCGTCAAAATCGTTACTGTTGCTGAGAGGAAAAAGGAATAAAATAAGCCTCAGTAAGCATTGCAGTAGTTCGAAGATCTCGAATACCGTGATAGATTAGTGTAAGAGGCTCTTCTACATGAACTATAGACGTGGAAACGCCCTGAAATTTCCACTTTGATGAGAGAGTCATTGCCTCAGCTCCCATCTATGATGGAAGATAGACTAAATTTTGGGCACAATAGGAAGTTAGCCATTGAATAAAGGGGACACAGTGAACCAAAAGTCAAGGCCCCCTACCCCTTCACGGCATACCGATGCCTGCAATATGGATTTATAGTCGGATTCAAAAGCAAAACACCAAACTCTCAAGCTTGTTAAAAGGCTTCAAATATATATCTCATGGGCTCTGTCTGTGGTCACACAGTGTCCCTTCTTTTTCAGGTGCCTCAAAAAGAACTCGCCTTTTGCGTTGTGCGCAGCCGGGAAGTGTTAACTACCTGCATCCTTCCAGGAGTACACAAGACCCTATCAAACATAACCTATCCTCTTCAACTCCTTCTACTCTTTTTCCTTCACCTGATACTAACATTAAGCCTCTTACACATTCTGTGGCCACTGTCAACGACCAAAGCCATCGAAACTCCATTCTAGTCCCTTGAGATCCCACCATCATCTTATGTAGGAGCTTTCAACGTCCGAACTCTATGCCAAATCGAACAGCAAGCATCCTTTGCCGGAATTCTGGAATATCTAGTCATGGATGTATGCTGTGTCTCAGAGACGCGCATACAAGACCCGAGTGCGATTACTAAGTTGACCTTACCTGAGCGCAGTATTGAATCTTCAAAATTCACCTTACGAGTATCCGGAGACTCAAAGGCTTGCTCTCGTGGACTCGCTGGTATAGGCACAGCATTGAGCTGTAGGGTAGAAATTTCGCTTCTCGACTGGATATCAGTCGACAGCCGCTTATGTACTGTTCGACTGAATGGATCTAGTAAAACTAGGAAGGATCCAAAGACGGATACACGGCTAATAGCAGGCTTAGACCTTACGCCTCAGATACGTTTATCAACACAAGTTGTCTGTCAGTATCAACATGGGACGTGATGTTACTGTGTGATAGTACAAGTTGCTATATTTCACTTCGGGACACAACGACACGAGGAAGATACGAGAACAAGAGAAAAGGCATTTGGAAGTCACAAGAAGAGGAGGTTCAGGCAAATAGCGAAATGTGACAATCATTAGGATGAGATATGGATAAACCTGTATTACTACAGTCGATTTCGAATTATGTCAACTAGTCTCCAGTCACCGACTTCAGCTGTCGTGCAGACCCCAACCGAGAATTTACGTTTCCCTACACGGCTCCAACCAGCACTTGTCAATTTCACGGATTAGTTTCACTGTCTGATTTTCTTTCCAGCCTGAACTTACATTAGTTAATATTGTGTACCGACGTAGACGGTAATTAGATATGCGTAAAACATGTCGCAGTAACTTGAATCGATGGAGCTTTACAACTTCATTGAATGCCTAGCCACTTCAACCTAACTCTCCAGTTAGCTTTTACTTGAATAAAGTGGTTACAGGAAATGCAGTAAGTGCCTATAAGGCAAGTGAACACCTGGAACACTCCTATGCACTCCACCTTTAATGACCACACTTCATAAACATATATTAGGACGGCAGTTTGGTACATTCAACCTTCAGTAGGCCATTAGATATCTTTACGACGAAACATATGACGGTTAGCGAAAGCCAAGAGGGTACTTTTTCCTCCATGCTGAGACTTCTTCAGCTATATACACCCAAATGCTGATCCAGTTTAGTGTTAACGCAAAGCGGTCATGAAGCAACAACCTGCGTATAGGAAGTGGGAAACTCCCAAAAAATAAGGAGTGGTCTGGTCATTTTTCGCAAAAGGGGTGCTTGTCTTGCATATAGAGAAACACTCAAAATACACTGTGTATGGAACGTATGACAGTGACACAAGTGAGCTAGCTGGTTTTGAGGTGCAGTCCAAACAAGGTTTTATGACTATCAGAGTAATACACGGTGACTGGAAATGTCAAGTTGACAATTTCACACTGAAGCACCTCCTGATTCAGAGTGAAGACAATAAGTAATTGATCGTTTGGAAAATCGACTGCTTCGTGTTTAAAAGCTAAGAGATGACAACCTAACGTCCTTTGAGTTCTTTTGACAACAACCTATCGATGACTGGCCCTGAGTAAGCTCTCGTGCAGACTGTTGCACACCCAGCGCATATAAATATGTATCATGAACAATAATCATTTTAGCTGTTTAAATCTCAGAATTGGTAAACTGACAACTTCGTGATTACTTTACGATCTAGATGATTTGGTTTACGACTCAGCTGTTCCTTAACCAAAAATATGTTGCGGTGATGCGACCATTAAGAATGGTGCAGCCCTTAAGAACTGGTTTTTCAATGAGGTGGTGGAAAGGCTTGGGATAAAATTATGACCATATCTGAAGGTGCTACATTCCCTTTTATTTCCTAGTCAACTCTTTAGACACCTGCTCACTAACCTTCCCGAGTTTATATGTACACCCAAAAGTTATCAAGATGAGACCCTCTTTAGGACTCACTAATATTAAATGGGAGTTATGTACTCGAAATACCGTTAAACACAAACAAGACTGGCATTGATAAATGTCGTTTAGACCAGAAATAAGTGGTGACTAATATTTTTAGTTGCCCAAGAATAGTATGAACCTAAATTAAGCGCAGCGAAAGAATGAAGTGTGAGATCTTTTCCAATGGAGATTTTAAGTGCCTAACGGAATAGGGTAGCGTTAAGATTCAGAACCCATGGAACTACTTAAGCAAGAATATTCAGCTAACAAGAACCCTGGAGTGCAAATTCTCAACAAAATTGATTTCATCTCTCAAACACTTAGTTTGCAAATCAGGAACATGGTGAGTACTTTTAGGATGAAACTGGATATCAAAAGAGATATCTAAGGCAAGGACTAATTCAGGCATGTTTCATGATAAAAGCCAATATTGATCAACTTTCACACGTTTTTATGTAACTTGTCTGCAAGTAAAATATGGTGTGATAAGCCCCATTGGAATATGGTCAATGACTCACTTAATAATTTGGCAGGACATCTCTGTAGAAACATGCCTATTTTCAAAACACGAGGAAAGCTGAGTGAAACACTTGAAAAATGCGGAAACAAAAAGTGCGGGCCAGAAAGAAAGAAAAATAGGGGCTAATCGATAAACGCGAGGCAAAATGAATGTGACGTGAACAAATAAAAAGACACTTAAGTCAACCTTTATGCAGAGCAAAACAAGGGGGCATGTTGTAGATTGTAATGAAACTCTGGGCAAAACGCGAGGTTCTGCAACACTACCCTTTGTCCTCCGCCCCAAGTTTTGCCCCCTATTTCCGGCGCAATTAGTCACGCACTTTTCCTCCCCGCGTTTCCCGCGAAAATGTTGACCAGATAGGTCAAATTCGGAACATTGTCGCAAAACTATAAGTATTCAGTGTAATTTTCCCCTATGGTCACTAGTTTAGACTTGCGAAAATTCTGATTGACTTAAACC